AACCATTCCCTAGCTCTTCTGGATGTGTGCTTGGGATCATTATCCTGTTGGAAAATGATATCTTCTTCAATCAATCCCTGATTCTGCCAAGCTAGGCAGCAAGTGGTCATTTTAAATGTCCACATACTGCTCAGCATTCATCTTCCCCTCAACCTCAGCAAGCATTCCCACAACCATTCCATCCCATACAGCCCCATACCATTAAAGAACCTCCTCCAAACTTGACAGTCCCATTAACACTCTCTGTCTGTTAGGGCCATCTCCCTTCTTTTTCCATACATACACCTTCCCATCTGACCCAATCCTATTGATTTTGGTCTCATCTGACCATATAACATGCTTCCAGTCCTCTACAGTCCAGTGTTGATGAGCTAAGGCAAAGGCTAGTCTTCTCTGCCTATGTTTGATGGAGAGAAGAGGCTTTTTTCTTCTTTGTTACTGCCTTGAGATGAGCTGCCTTGAGAACATTCCTCACAGTTTGTGAAGAGACAGGGGTAGTGATGGTGGAATTGATATAATGGGTGGCTTGGACGGCATTATCAGCCTTTCCTGTAGTGATATGTTGGATAATAGCCCTTTTGTCAGTAGAGGTAAGCTTGGATGGACGTCCTCCACAAGAGTTTTCCTTGTCTGGGTGGCTTTCTTTGATGAACTTGGCCACAGTGGACTTGCATATTCCAGTTCTAGAGGAAATTTGGCGAGCAGAGAGGCCAGCATAAGACAGAGAGAGGATATTATCTCTTTGAGCAGAGGAGATGGCTTTCATGGTGATTATGACTATGATACATGAGATATTCTGGTTTATATAGTTAGATATAGTCATAAAATAACATAATGACACCACTTTATAATTTATATAATAGTGGCATGATTTTTATGGTGTCATAAATAATGATTTATATAGTTTTAATATACACTCAAAAAACTGTCCACATGAGTCATCATTTTATAAGCCTTATATCTCCACCATATCTCCGCCGATTCCCACGGTGTAGGGCTCAAATAAAAGCCCTGAAGCCATACTACAATGTGGTATAAGTATGTCCTTGAGGAATTTGTTCATTCTCACACAATATCATAGATAGTGAAAAATGTCAAAACATGCGGACAGTTTTTTGAGCCACTGTATGTGTCCCAGTCAGGGAATATGCCACGCACCCAGGGCACCAATGCCACCGACATTGTGCTACATTTTGCACATTTCATGGTCAAGATACTATTTTCTCACAGTTGACACTGTCATATTAGGCTATCAAGTTAAGACTATTGAGTTAAGGCTATTGAGTTAAGACTATTGAGTTAAGGATATCGAGTTAAGGATATCGAGTTAAAATTTAAGGCTATTGAGTTAAGACTATTGAGTTAAAGCTATCGAGTTAACACTATTGAGTTAACAATGAAGGCTATTGAATTAAGACTATTGAGTTAAAGCTATCGAGTCAACAGTTAAGGCTATTGAGTTAAGACTATCAAGTTAAAGCTATCAAGTTAAAGCTATCAAGTTAAGACTATGTAGTTAAGACTATCGAGTTAAAGCTATCGAGTTAACAGTTAAGGCTATTGAGTTAAGGGTATGCATTAGACTCTCATGTAAAGACTATCAAGTTTACACACCATTGTATTAGGCTATCGAGTGAAGACTTTAAGTGGTAGACTATTGTGTCAGTCTATTGTAACAGACTATTGAGTTAAGACTATGGAATGTAGACTATTGTATCCACCGGTCCACATGATCTTGGGCCAATGTTACTTTTCACTTTCATCAATATGTCTCGGTGCATGTGTTAGGGGGGTAAAACCAAAAAAATGGTACTTTGACCATGAAATCTTTAAATTCTGGTGGAACATCGGCAGAGTCGGCGCCCTGGGTGCCTAACATATTCCCCCGCCGGTCCACATGATCCCTGGCCAATGTTACCTCTCATATTCATCAATATCCCTCGGTGCACGTGTTAGGGGGGTAAAAAACCAGAAAAATTGTACTTTGACCATGAAATCTTTAAATTCTGGTGGAAGGTCAGCAGAGTCGGCGCCCCGAGTGCCTGGCATACTCCCCTGCCGGTCTACATCATGCTAGCCTAATGTTACCTCTCATATTCATAGGTGTTCCTTGGTGCATGAGTTAGAGGGGGGAAAAGCAAGAAAATGGTATCTTGACCATGAAATCTTTAAATTCCGGTGGAACATTGGCAGAGTCGGCGCCCTGGGTGCCTGACATATTCCCCGACCAGGTCAAACAATCCTGGGCTGATATTACCTCTCATATTAATCAATATTCCTCGGTGCAGACGTTAGAGGGGTAAAAACCAAAAAAATGGTATCTTGACCATGAAGTCTTTAAAGTCCGGCGGAATGTCAGCAGAGTCGGTGCCCCGAGTGCCTGACATAGTTCCCCACCGCTCTATATCATGCTAGTCCAATGTTACCTCTCATATTCATCAATATCTATTGGTACACGAGTTAGAGGGGTAAAAGGCAAAAAAAATGGTATCTTGACCATGAAATCTGTAAAATGTGGCAGAATGTCGGCGGTGTCGGCGCCCTGGGTGCCTGACATATGCCCCCGCCGGTCCACATGATCCCCGGCCAATGTTACCTTCCACCTTCATCAATATTTCCCAGTCCCCAAGTTACAGCGGTAAAAAGCAAGAAAATGGTATCTTGACCATAAAATCTTTAAATTCCAGTGGAATGTCGGCAGAGTCAGTGCCCTGAGTGCCTGGCATATTCCTCCGCCGGTCCACATGATCCCCAGCCAATGTTACTATCAATATTTCCCGGTGCCCGAGTTACAGGGGTAAAAAGCAAAAAAATGGTATCTTGGCCATGAAATCTGTAAAATGCGGCAGAATGTCGGCAGTGTCAGCGCCCTGGGTGCCTTACATATGCTCCCGCCGGTCCACATGATTCCCGGCCAATGTTACCTTCCACCTTCATCAATATTTCCCAGTGCCTGAGTTACAGTGGTAAAAAGCAAGAAAATGGTATCTTGACCATACAATCTTTAAATTCTGGTGGAATGCCAGCGGTGCTGGCACCCTGGGTGCCTGGAGTATTCCCTGACTGGGACACACAATCCCGGGCTAATGTTATCTCTCATATTCATCAGTATTTCTCGGTGCACGAGTTAGAGGGGTAAAAAGCGATACAATGGTATCTCAGTCATGAAATCGGTAAATTATCGGCAGGATGTGATGGGTGTTAGCACCCCAAGTGCCTGGAAAATTCTCCTGCTGGTCCATGCCTTGTCATTAAAACATGGCAAGCATTCCGGGTGGTGCTAATGCCAATGTATATTTCCCAATACCATTTCCCGACATCCTATTGCAAATGGTGCTGTGTCGGTAACTACATACTGGGCCCACCCCTCACCCTCGGGTAACATCTAGCAGTCATAGCCTATATACCATAACACTACTCTCTATGATATTATTGAGTTCCACAAGGTGTGTAGTGTAGGCCCACCCCTGAGCCTCGGGTATTGTCTGCTGCCTGGCCCACCCAGTATATATGGTGATAATCTTACATGTGGGCCCATGGTGGGTTGGCCCGACTGTTATGGAGAAATGTCAACATGGGCTGTCCTATAAGTAAGGGAATATGTCACTGCATTATGTGTGAGTGTGTTGTTGCACATTGATTGTTGATCATGGTCTGCAGATGCGACACATCATTATAAAGGATATGATGATAGAAAAAAGGTGTGCTGTGCCCCCTCATACTCATAAAATTTAGATTGTCTCATCCTCATGTTCAATCTACATCCAGAATGTCTTCCACTGGTCCTACTCACCAAGCACTGAGTGATATTCTCAACAATACTGATTCAGCTCCCTCTCAGCGTCAATGCTGCGACCGCCGCCCTTCAGAGAAGGCTCTATACCAAGGTATGCCATTTCTGATGTACTACCAATTCTATCACTAACTATATTGTTATATCATACCTAGTTGAGGAGGACCAAGAACGCCGCCGCCCAAGTGGTCAATAAAAAATCAAGGCCACCCATAAAAATTGTGTGGACAGAGGTGTGTTGTTGACTGTTGCATTGGTTGCCTGCCACCTAACTATTTTCAGGTACACATGACGGCACACAGTTTTCAATGCAGGCTATTGCCCTGTCCAGAGGTAGTGTACCATCCAACAGTCCACTAGATCTGCGGCCCCAATTCAGCAAGGTCCCCCCATGTGAAAAGTACACCCCATGGCCAAAACACATCACACAGGTACATACACCAGCTCCATCCAGAATATCTGTGTCTGGGGGCTGGCAGGAAGACCCTCTTACAAAGGTGAGTCAGCCGCGTGATATAACATATAGTTTGACGTTGATGCCTTGTTTTTAAGGAGTCTGGTTTTGTTGATCGTGAACAGAGGTCCAATGGTCTCAGTGTAAGTCTCATTGCCTTCGCCTCAATTTTAGGGCACTGATCATTATGTTGAAGCTCCCACCTGCGCCACAGAAGCTGACAGTGGCACGTGCCAACGAGCTCATCCAACTTTGACGGGTGCAGTCCAATGGGTCCTTAGGTGATGACATAGACTTGACCAATGGCAAGCAAAATGATGATGGCGGGCAGTTTGATGACAACAAAGACCTCAGTGATGTGTTCACTGGTGGAGAGACATACCATGGTGAGGGTAACAACCATGAGGGTGAATGGTGCAGTATCATACACTTGAATGGCAGCTGATTGATCTTGTAGATTTGCACCACTTGAAGCATGTGCGGCTGCCACCCTCAGATGATGAGGGTGACAGCACACAGAGTCATAAACGGATGCGTGAGTCCGAAGATTCGCCTTCCCCACAGCAAGGTGAACAGTGACTTCCACACAAGATTCGTCAGAGTAAGGGCCGTTGTAGCAGCCCATGATGACAAAGTAGCAGTGCAGCAACTCATCAAATATGCGATCAGCCATTTTTGTGTCCGGCTCACATGACTCAAGTCCTGTGGGCGAAGGAGGCCTGGAAGGAGGCATGTAGCTGTTATGAGATGGAGATGGGATTCAATGGCAAGATCATACAGATGGTACGTGATCAATTTCTATTAATTCATCTGCCTAATTTCTTGTTTAAGATTACCCAGCACACATCGCATCTCACTAGTGAGGTGAAAGTGAAGGTTCGGCTGCTCATTGAGAATATCTATGGGTTTGAGTCCACCAATCGGGAGTCCATCAAGTGTAGGAATCGCAAACGTGCCCATCAGCTCAAGGATAAATTTGGCTTGTGTTACCGGGTGCGTTAATGATATCTTGAGTCATGTTTTGTACTTATATTTGGTTGGAAGGACCTCGGGGACAAAAAGAACAATGTCCCTCGCAGTGGCCTCTTCCAGTCGAGGTTAAATCAGCAAGCAGCAAATTTACTCTGGTACTGCAACAAGGATGAAGGAATCGTTTTCGAGAAGTTTTTTTCGCCATTTCCAATGCCAGCCCTGGCCTTGGTGTACACCGCAGTAAGTCATGCTATTGTCTGTTGACTTCAGATGGTGATATTGTCGGCTGCAGGCCGAATGCTGCATCGATGAATGGTCTGACAGCGAACAAGTCGATATCAGCTTTTCGAGCGGTGATTATAGGGAGGTCTATGATAAGCATCTCGCGAACCTCAAGAAGTTTGATACTCGAACGAAGGATCATGGTACCCTTGATGGCATCCTGACGGAACTCAACAACAATGGCAGGTATGTGTATTTCGATCATTTGAACTTTCAAATTTTACAATCATAATACAGGTCACATGCAAAGGTGGATCCAATTGACGTCAGGGACGGAGACCGCCTTTCAGACGACGAGATCAACAAGGCCATCCGGGAATACCAGCAGGGCAGTGGTGCAGATGGTAGTGATGAGGTGGAGTCTGACTTGGAGTCTGAGGGTGGTCAATTTGAAGTTGATGAAGTCGAGGCTGAGTAGAATAACTGCAGACTAGTATTTAAACCGTGAATGCACGCCATTTATCTCCTGAGTGCGCAAGTGCTATGATGTGTACTTACTACAATTTTAAACAATAGATCACTACATAGCTGCACTATGTAAGGATATGATATTCTCTACGCCCCGACCAGGACTTCAAAACAAAAACGCTCGAGCCAAGCGCTCGAACCCATCCACGTGACTCACTGATACGGAAGGCGTTACCTTCCGTATCCGAGTCACGCGGATACATCCCTTTGTTCCTTACGCTCATTATCTCACTGTCGTCAACATCCAGCACGGCCTTAGTCTCATCATTACAACATACCCTTCATTGACAACAACCTTCAACTCTCCTTATCTCGTTATTCTCATTTGTTTTCAATTCGCCGTCTCCAAAACTGTCACTACTACACAACTCTCGTCAATTATAACATTCAGACCGCCACTCATTCATAATCTTTTTGTACTCTCCATTCATGCCTTCTACACTACCCTGCCAGGCTCAGCGCCACTCCCTTCTGCCTCCGTTTTCTCATAATCGTTCGGTCAAGATATACCCGAGGACCCTTGCCGTTTCGCACTTATATACAGCTCATGTACACTCATATTTAGCAGCAAATCCTATATTCAGATACCTGCTCAAAGAACGACCGAAGCCCTCTCAGAAAGTCCCCGTCTCCCGTCCTAGTCCTATCTATCTTCGTGTTACCTACTAACGCGTCTCTCTTCTATCTTGTCTCATTCACTTTCCCCTTCAAACTCATAGTCAGCCTTACAACTACATTGCCAAGGTACAAGATACCGGATGCTATGTTGTGCAAATACACATATAGTCTGCGCTACATGGTACTATATCGGGGGAGGAGATGCAACCAGGCTATAAGTGCGATGTAGCCTCTGTGGCGCTATATTGCAGTTCCCATTTTTCCTGATGAAGAAGCATTTGGGACTGTTGCATGACTACTTTCCAATCCACGGGCTCCCCTTGTTCTTGGCTGCTGCACACTTGTTGAGAGTCCCGAAAACAGTTCCCCACGGTCTCCGCCTGTTGCTCCTGCAGGCACCGCAGGAAATACTTTTGGTAAACAAGGACATCTGTCAGGCAGCCACATATGCATATGCTGAACAAGATGCTGCACACAAAATAGCGTGCTGTATTGATGTCTTCAGCACACCTGAAACATTTGACTGTTTCTGCGATGTTGCCCATAATCGAGGATGATCCCCAGAGATAATGGAATAGAGATAGACAAGGATAGACATGCAGAATACGTCAGACATGAGGTGCCATCGGCATGACTTCTCTGTGTCAAACCTGTGGAGGTGACCAGGGTCATTAGTAGACTTCAGGACGGCTTCAAGATCTTGCCCGTGTCTGATGAGTTCAGCAATGCTGAGTCTACCAGCATGCAAGATTAGCAATTTCAGCAAGGGTGAGGATGATGTGGTTTTCACATCCCATGATGCCCATCATAGAAAGCTCCAATCTGTCATCATTAACTGCAGTGGTAGGACCACAGAGCGAATGGAGCACTTCAAGGAACTTGGAACATGTTGTGGTTAACAGGAGGGGCCAAGAGATATCGAGAGGGTATGTCATGATGACATCATCATCGACTTTGTCTGGGAAGCATGCATGAAACATGAAAAGAAAGCCTCAACATCCCTGCATAAGTTGGAACCATTGTATAGCATAGACACCTCACACTGTCATGAAGAGAAATATGAAGAGAAAAATGAAGAGAAAAATGGATATAGATATGAACATGAAGAGAAAAATGAAAAGAAAAATGAAGAGAAAAATCGATATAGATATGAACATGGGGAGAAAAATGAAGTACAATATAGATATGAACATGGATAGAAAAATGGAGTATAATATAGATGTGAAGATGGAGAGAAAAATGAAGTATATAGATATAAACATAAAGAGAAAAATGGATGTAAATCTAAATATATACGCATGATCTCCACAATCATTTCTCCATGGGCGGCAAGAAAATTTTCATCGACGACCTTGTTGCTTTCCTTAAAAAATATAGTAAGTCAAATGATAAGGGAATGATGTAAACAAATAACATACACGTAGCCATTCTGAACGTTTTGCGCCCCGACCAAGAAGTTGTAGACAAAAACGAAGACATGTTTGGCAGCTGCCGTCTGCATTGGGCTGCTCGTCGCATTTCTAGCAAGGGGTCAATGAACGTTTAATGACAAAGAAGCGGCGATCAAAAATCGAAGGAGTGACGTGCAAGGACCTACCTTCCAGCAGATTCTGCACGTCAGGCTCTCGGGGCTCGTGCTCGGGTGCAAAGCGCTATCCACAAATTGAATTGCTTCCTCAGCAGGAGGACGATCAATGGGTGTCGTAGACCAGCAACAGGTCATGAAATCCCATTGCTGGCCAGTGACATAACAGATATTCGGACGAGGATGTATTTCCCCTCCAATCACTTTCAGCAAGACTGCCGTGTCTTTGGCCAAGTCCCACCAAGGGATATGTCCCGTCAAAACCTGCAGGACAAATTAGTAAGTTGTATTAGTAAGGGGACCACTACTGACTTGGAGCATGATGCTACCAAAGGAGTACATATCACTTTGAGTGGTGGCTGCAGAAGCTGATTCTTCTCCAGAGAGAAGTTCAGGAGCTGTCCATCTCACTGCTCCTGGATGACAGCTCATGTTTGCGAGGTACGTCTTGCCGATCGACTTTTTCATAGTTCTGGAAAGGCCAAAATCTGCAAGGTAGGCCTTTCTATTACTATCGATGAGGACATTGGTCTTGCAGCTGAACATTAGTGTGTGAGGGATGGAATAAATAATAGATTTTACACCAGTGAGGTCGCCATGAACAACCGGGTTCAAGTCCGTATGACCGTCTTCCGTTAAACAAAATGTATGAACTGATTGTAAAAAATTATTCATTTTCCCTTAGACATGCACGTTTTCACCCACGATAGTTGAGGCCAGCAGCAATGTCACGAAGCTTGTACACGAAACAATGAATTCGGTTGTACAAACTGGAAACATATTTGAAGTGCTCACCAAAAACAGACGGTCACGCAGCCCGAGGGTCTCGTTATTCTGGTCGAGAAATGATGTCAGAGTGCCGTTGGTCATCCATGGAGCAACCAAAGCTAGTGAGGGACCAAAGCCCGAAGTTGTACCCATGAATTTCAAAATATTAGAATGCCGCAACCTCTTCCAAATTCCAAGCTCTCTCCGAAACATCTAAGGAAGCTTAATGAGAATCTGACGTTCCCTTAGATAGAACATCACCTCAGGATTAAAGTACCGAAGTCGAATTGCTTTGACGGCGACCTGCGGGCGAGTGTTGAGTTAGTGAGCATGGAAGAACCGTAACATCTGCACGAACCTCTGCCTTGCCCTCTGGTCCGTCGTATATACACTTGTAAATATTTCCATATGTGCCGCCGGAAATCGGGTCTAGGCTGCATCGGGTGATAAGCATGGTTAAGTCTGGGATGGGGATTGAAGTGATCGGCTGAGTGGAGGAAGCGACATTGGGAGCAATAAGCGGGGATGGTTCGAGAGTACCAGTAAGAGAAGAAACCGTGTCCGGAGGGAAAGCACGACCAGAGTCTGGTTGCATGTCTATCTCCTGCTGCATGGCTAAGGTGGCCATCGTGGTCTGCGAGTGGTGGTTGTGTTACCGATGGGAAGGGCGGTGCATGAGGTCTGAGGCCTAGGCCTGAGGCATTGAGGTTGTCACAAGGTTGTCAATTGATACAGGATTATAGGCTCGTGACCAGCCTGGCTTACTAATACCACGGACAAGTCCAGTGGCGAAGCCAAGCTGGTCGATCTCGGAGAAATTTGGCAGGAGGAGCGAAGAGTTTGAAATTTGACAGATGCCGATCGTGCCGGCTGAGGTACCTGCGATCATACAGTACTTACAAGTTATGTGTTTCCTCTCGCTCAGGCTCAGCCTATATGCTACGAACCATGAGTTCAATACGACCTTTATCGCTCGCTGCTCGAGACGCGATTGAAAATCTCCAAACAGACTTTACAAGTGCCCTTTCAATGCCACAACACCAGCAAGTTCTCGAGGCCTTCTCGCTCTCAGCATCAACCTCACCGATGACTATTTCGATGCATCACTGGGGACGTCGCTAAAATGTCTTTCATTTGGGCCCATTGTAACCTCCTTCCTTGACCCTCGCAGCCCCAGTCTGTATTTAATTTCATGAACATGTGTCCGTTCATTTTTTCTTAAATCCATCTAAACGAAAAAGGTCACAAATCAAATAATTCTACTAGGCTGATGTGCTTGTAAATTCGTCTTTCCTCGACAATGCCAAATATTCCCATGTCAAAGCGGTCAGCAGATATACGAAGATTGTTGTGATGCTCTACAATATATTGCTTTAAATAACTTTCTCATCTGTTCACCGGTTCACTGATGGAGAAACTGCACAAGGGCCTTGCTTTCAACTTTGAAAAAAAACCTTCTCTCCAAGGTAGCATGGGGGCCTTTTTCGAGATAGAGTGCAACATGAGGTCCATGACCATCATCCGAAGCCCACGAGAGATTTTTAGGACCGCAAGGATCGGTGTACTGAATATTGACAGGAGACAGCCTCTTGAGCCTTGAGGCCGTGGAAGAGGGAGGGTGTGTAGAAAACAATACGTAGCATTCGGAGGTCGTGCAAGCGCAGATGCGATGTGTTCATCAGGCATAAATAGATTACAGCTTGTAAATGGAAACCCTCGGGAAATAACTAGCCGCGCTACACACTAGGGGCGTGCCGAATACTTTTAGTGAATAACGAAGAGAGCTAGGAAGTGGAAGCCAATATAGAATAGCCTTTAGACAAGAACCATTTGGGCCTGTTGCATAACTACCCGTCAGTCCACGGGCTCCCCTCGTTCTCGGCTGTTCCACACTTCTCTTATAAGTTGAGCGACCTGAGCACAGTTCCCCACCGTCTCCGTCTGCAGTTCCTGCAGACGCCGCAAGAAATAATCGCGGTATTCAGCGACATCTGTCAGGCAGCCACATATACATATGCTGAACACGACGCGGCGTACAACATGGCGTGCTGTGCTGACATCTTCAGCACGCCTGAGACATTTGACTGTTTCTGTGATGTTGGACATGATCTCTGGACATTGTGGGTGATCCCCAGAGATGACGGAATGAAGATAGACAAAGGCAGACGCGCGGAATACATCAGAAGTGAGGTGTCGTCAGCGTGACTTTTCTGTGTCAAAACCGTGGAGGTGATCATTGTCGTTGGTAGACTTCAGGATGGTTTCGATATCTTGCCCGCGTCTGATGAGTTCAGGAACGCTGAGTCTACCAGCACGCCTGCATCCATCCTTCCAGCATGCGAGATCAGCAATTTCAGCGAGGGCGAGGACGATGCGGTTTTTGCATCCCATGACGCCCATCATAGAAAGCTCCGGTCTGCCACCATAAACGGCAGAGGTGGGACCATAGAGCGAACGGAGCACCTCAAGGAACTTGGGACGACGGATCAGCGTGGCAGAGGCAAGGACATCAAACCACATGGACGTCTTGATGATAAACCGCATGCTGTCGGTGCAGGATATCAGTGCCCAGTCTGGCGCAACATGATTCCGCTGGAGTACACTGATTGAAATTTTGCAAGCGCTGTCGAGGAACGCTTGCCACTGCCCTTGTCCTCCAGAGAAGAGGAAATAGGAGACCATGCAAAGGTTTGCAAACGCGTCTCCTTCTGTCACTGGCACCACTAGTGCCCTTTGGAGGCGTCTGTACACATCATGATCTGCTGGCACAGTAAAACCAATTGCGCTCTCGCGGTGCAAATCCGCAAGTAAACATGCAGCCTGTCGGGCTGAATCACTGGAATGTATGAGTTTCCAGATGAGTTGATGAATGGACCCGTCGACATGCAAGTATTGGATACGGAGAACATGTTGCATATAGTGTTGCAATGATGCGTTTTGGTGCATGTTCAGGTTAACCCAGTTGTGATGCATGGTGTTGTTGTAGTTAACGGATTGGGGCAAGAGATATCCAGAGGGTATGACGTTATAATCGTCTTCGACCGAGAAGGATGCATGGTACGTTGCGGAGAAGTCCCTGATGCGAGGTCGAGGCAGGTTTGATTGCGTCCCTGCCAAAAGGAGGGCTTGAGTACTATGGTACATACATACATTCAGTAACGATACGGGGTCTTACATGATGGTTCTAAGCTAGTCGTATAAATAGTGGAAGGATACGCAGGCAGCATAACCCCAGAATATTTTTCCCGAGCGCCCAATAATTTTTCCCGAGCGTCCAACGGTTTTTCCCGAGCGTCCAATGGTGAATCATAGTCATCCATCACCGGAAGTCCTACAACATTATGAGAAAACAAGCAAGGTTATTCCATGATATGAGTCTTACGAGCATCAGTGTCCCTCCGAAGATAATCATTACGTGTTATACCCGGGTGTCGCTCGTCGCTGGAGATCGACAACGTCGGGGTCTGCGGACTCGTGCTCGGGGAAGCATAGTCCGCCGAAAGTCATAGGATAGAAAATTCCTGGTCGTTGGGACGAGGCCCAGCACCAGAATGCCCCTTAATCATTCCTTGTACGGCAATAAAAATTTTAATTTTTTCTCGTAGGTCGACGACCGTGTTGTTTGCCTTGAGGGATAAAATAAGTCAAATGATAAGGGAATGATAAAAATAAATGACATACACGCAACCATTCTGGACGCTTTGCGCCGAAACCAAGACATTCTAGACGAAAACGAACGCATGTTTGGCAGCTACCGTCATTGTTGGGCTGCTTGTCGCATTTTTAGGAAGGGGTCATTGAGCGTCTGATGACAAAGAAGGCGATTGAAGATCGAAGGAGTGACGTGCAAGGACCTACCCTCCGGCGGATTCTGCACGTGAAACAACCCGACTTGGCGCGCACAGCGCCTTTAGCCTTAGGCGCTCCGGTCCGTCTATCCTGGGTAGGAAACTTTGGTACGGCGGTGGCGCACACAGCGTCTTCATCACGGGCTATACCCGAGTGTCGCTCGTCACTAGAGGTTAACAACGTCGGGATCTGGGGGCTTATCCTCGGATTTTGCCCGTCGCCGGAGACCAACGACGTCAAGCCAACGACGTCAAGCTCTGGGGACTCGTGTTTGGGTGCAAAGCGCTATCAACAAATCGAACTGCTTCCTTGGCAGGAGGCCGATCAGTCAATGACATAGACCAGCAACGGGTCATAAAATCCCAGTGCGGGTCAGTGACACAAACATCGTCTGGACGGGAATGCATTTTCCCTTCAATAACCACTTGGTACGAGATCTGGAATTCACGGGTCAAGTGACACCAGGGCACATTTCCCGTTAAAACCTGCAGGACATCTTAGTGAGCTACACTAGCAAGGGGAAACGACTTACTTGAAGTATGATGCTACCAAAGGAGTACATGTCGCTTTGAGTGGTGGCTGCAGAATCTGATTCTTCCCCGGAAAGAAGTTCAGGAGCTGCCCATCTCACTGCTCCTGGATGACAAGTCATCTTCGCGAGGTACGTCATGCCGGTCAACTTTTTAAAAGTTCCGGAAAGGCCAAAATCCGCAAGATATGCCTTTCTATTACCATCGATGAGGACGTTGGTCTTGCAACTGGTCATTAATATGTGAGGGATAGAATAAATAACGCATCTTACACCAGTGAGGTCTCCATGAACCACGGGGTTCAAGTCTGTACGTCCGTCTTCTGTCAAGCTAAACGTATGAACTGACGTAAAAAATTATTCATTTTTCCTTAGACATGCACGTTTTCACCCACGATAGTTGAAGCCAGCAGCAATGTCACGAAGCTTGTGTGCGAAACAATGAACTCGGTTGTGCAAATTGGGAACATATTTGAAGTGCTCACCGAAAGCAAACGATCACGCAGCCCAAGGGCCTCGTTATTCTGGTCGAGAAACGACGTCAGAGTGCCGTTGGTCATCCACGGAGCAACCACCAAAGTCGGACGTTGTACCCATGAATTTCAAAATATTAGAATGCCTCAACCTCTTCCAAATTCCAAGCTCTCTCCGAAACGTCTAAGAAAGCTTATGAGAATCTGGCCGTTCCCTCAGATAGAATATTACCTCAGGACTAAAAAATTGTGGTCGGATCACTTTGACGGCAACCTGCGGGCGAGTGTTGAGTTAGTGAGTGTGGAAGAACTGGAACATCCCCACGAACCTCTTCATTGCCCTCTGGTCCGTCGTATATACACTTGTAAATATTTCCATATGTACCGCCGGAAATCGGATCTTGGCTGCATCGGGTGATAAGACTAATTAAGTCTGGGATGAGGATTGAAGTGATCAGCTGAGTGGAGGGAGCGACATTAGGAGTAGTAGGTGGGGATGGTTCGAGAGTACCAGTAAATCTTCGCTGATCTGCTGACAAAGCACCGCCAACTCCAGTGTCCGTTCCAAAACTTGAGTTTTCAGGGACTCTGCGAAGCCTTTGGGTTGATGGGTTCCTTCCAGGTACGATGTATGGATGTGGACGATGTTGCACCGTCGAACGGGGAGGACGACGAAGATGCTGTGCACCAAAGTTGGCCATACTGGATGAAGAAACTGTGTCCGGAGGGAAAGCACGACCAGAGTCTGGTTGCGTGTCCATCTCCTGCTGTATGGATAAGACGGCGGCTGTAGTCTGCGAGTGGTGGTTGTGTTATCGATAGAAAGGATGATGCATGTCACTGCATGAGGCCTCGAGGTTATCAATTGATACAGGATTACACATTAATATTAAAGAAATGAGCTATGCAGGATTGGTACTTTCGGCGTTACCGGTAACGCCGAAAGTACCAATCCTGCATAGCTCGTGACGTCGCGGCCGAGGGGGCATTGAAACTTGCGCTGTGCAGTACATAACGTAGCGGTGCTGACAGTGACATGCACACCAAGTGTCCCACTGGACATGATCCGATCATACTCAACTCAGTCCAACAATCGTCGAAATGTAGAGTCTGTTTTGTGAACGCCGATCCGTAGGCACCACAGTATTAATGCCAAAAAGCTCTCGGGTGATTATTACAGCAGTTTGCAGAACACTATAGGCCGATCGTCAAAGATAAAAAGGGACAGCGTTGTTTGAATTGTAATGTCCAATCAGAAACCACGAATTTCTGGGTAGGTACCGCGATAATTGTCGGAAGTTGAAAGTTGAAACGTTGAAAGTTCGTAGTTTGACTTAGCTTGCCGATTTATGTTTTCTTTCTTGGGAGTGGCCTAGCGTTCTGCAAACGGCTGTAAAGAGCGACCGAAGATTGGTCGGACAAAAGTGTTTGGTATCGCTGAGCCGGCCTATTAAATGATTCAAATCATGATGGTGGGGACTCCTAGGGACTCAAAGCAACCCTCCGAGGGTCACATTCAATATATCAAACTTTGTATTAGTAATACTCGTTCGGGCTTACATAACTTCCACCTCTTCCGATGAAACGCTGTCCCGAGTCAGACATACATATATTATTATTTTAATTAAAGATAGATCGGCGGAGGTATGCATGGATGACAGGCGGTAGGGTATGAGAATAAAGAGTTAAAATTGCCGCGCTGTATGCAGCACACCAGGAGCGTGCCGAACACCTTTAGCAAATAATGAAGAGAACTAGGTAAAAAAAAAAAAGGTCATGTGTCGTAGTAAGATATCATTTTAAACAAGAAGCATGTCTCGCATAACTACGCGCCAGTCCACAGGCATCCCCCCTTCTCGGCTCGTCCAAACCCGCCTCATGAGATCACAGGCTAGACCACAGTTCCCTGCTGTCTCCATCTGCTGCTCCTGCAGGAGTCGCAGGAAGTAATCGCGGTATTCAGGGACATCCGTCAGGCAGCCGCAGACGCATATATTGAACACCATACTGTGCACGACATGGCGTGCTGTGCTGACGTCTTCAGCACGCCTGAGACACATGACTGTTTCTGCGACGTTGTCCATGATCTCTGGACATTGTGGGTGGTCCCCGGACATTACGGAATGGAGATAGACAAGAGCAGAGGCACGGAATGTGTCAGAGGTGAGGCGCCGTAGGCGAGATCTTTCTGTGTCAGCAGGGTGGGGATTATTGTCATCGGTAGTCTTCAGCATGGTTTCGATACGTTGCCCGCGTCTGACGAGTTCAGGAACGCTGAGGCCACCGGTGCGCCCGAGACCTTCCTTCCAGCATGCGAGATCAGCAGCTTCAGCGAGGGCGACAACGTTGCGGGTTTCACATCCCACGACACTCATCATTGAAAGCTCTGGCTTGCCGTCAATGAGGGCAGTGCCAGACGGATCATAGAGCAACCGGGGTACTTCAAACATTGGACGACGGATCAAAGTTACAGAGGCGAGGATATCAAGCCACATGGACGTCTTGATTATAAACCGCATGCTGTCGGTGCAGGATATCAGTGCACTGACTGGCGAAGGGGAGTTCCGCTCGAGGTAGGCGAGGGAAAATCGGCAAGCACTGTCGAGGAATGCTCGCCATTGCCCTTGACCGCCGGAGAAGAGGCAGTAGGAGATCATGCAAAGACTTGCAAGAGCGTCTCCTTCCGTGACTGGTTCTATGGCCCTTTGGATGCGTCTGTGCACATCATGGTCTTCTGGGGCACTGTAACCAATCGAACCATCTTGGTTACTCCTGCGGTGCAAACCCGCAAGTAAGTATACAGCCTCTCGGGCTGCTTCACTGGAATGTATGAGATTCCAGACGATGGTGTCAACGGACCCATTGGCATGAGAGAACTGAATAGGAAGAACATGTTTCATATAATATTGCAACAACAAGTTTTGATGGCCGTTCAGGTCAATCCAGTTCTGATGGACGGGGTTAATGGAGGCGGGCAAGCGATATCCTGAGGGTATGACGGTGTAGTCGTCGTCGCCATCGTCAGGCCAGTGTGTATTGTAGATTGAAGATAATTTGCTGGTGTGTGGTCGGGGTAGCGGCATAGTCGTTCGATTGGAGCTTTGCCAAGAGGAAGACGAAGCGTGCTATATATACTTGGTAATGATGTGGGTTCACATGATAACCGACATGCAATTTCTGAACCCTGCTACGGGACCGTCCCCAAGACCAGGCTGCACTCAGTCTAAGCAGACCGGCTCAGGCTCGGCTCAGGCTCGGTTGACGGCCCGAGGTCTAGACTTCAATCGAATTTTCGAAGAATCGTTAAGCTGTGACCTAAATGCTTTGAGGCCTGTGTAAGTCAAGAAAAAGCTGTAGCCCTTTGGAAGATTGCAGGCAAAGGACGAGTAGGCTATCGTCTGACTGGAGCCCGGAGGAAACGTGGTTGCGGTGAGCTTGGACATAATTGGATGAACTAGAAATTGAGCTGTGTTGCGGGCTGAATTGAAAGTATAAACAAACGTCAATTTAGTGACCGCAAGGCCTTAGGACTGAATATGCATGGTGACTCTGGTGCCAGATACCAACTCGCGCGATACTTTGTTCAGTTGTACGCTGTCAAGAGCTGTGTCGGACTTGCCCACCTAGAATGAACGACTGTATCCCTTCAATACAGTCTGACTACTAGGACCAAGAGTCACCCTACAGTTGAATAATGAACGATGTCAATATTCAGTATGGCCAATGCGAAAACGCACCGTCACCGTAAAACGTTCGCCAATTAACGTTTAACCTTTGAACAGCTGACATTGAAATAAGAACTCACATGAGGAAGTGTGTTTCATCTTGAAAGAAGTGAACTTTGTAAAAAAAGATTCTGGCCACCTGAGAGCCGCGTAATTGCCACCCCAAACCCTGCAATCTGCATTTGTCAAGGAAGCCCGAGTTTTATATGGTATGATATCTGCAAACAAACAACCATAACACTACCAGGGCGATCCTAGTATTCGCAGTATCACCGTGGAAGGCGATCACAACAAATTTCCGATAATTGGACGATGCATCCTGCCAGTTCGTGACTGGCCCGTGCAAATCGGTAGTGGATAGTCACCGGGACGTGGCCGACCCAAATTATGGATATTTCCCTATAAGTATTTCCGCACATCGCCAGGGTCATCATGATGGATACTAATATCAAGGAGGGTCGCAGCACGAGCGCCGCGGGGTTGCTGCGTCGTTCTGGAGTGTCGCTGCAAGTACCAGTTATGTAACGGAGCCTGGCTTGGCTTGTCGAAGCAGTCCTAAGCAGTCCTAGGTCCTGTAGATTGATTAATATCTAAGGCACCACTTGTGAATGATTTTTTTCTTACAAGGCGTAAATGGCCCGTGGAAGGCTGGAACACGAGAACAACACTGGAAGGCTTGAGAGTTTCATAATGATGAAATCCCGCCAGTGTTCTTTGATTAGGTTGTACCAACTTTGATCTGAATGCCGCAGCAAGGAGGTTTCGGATGTTATTATTCTAAATAGGACTTGCTATGTTCCGAGTAGCTCGCAGAAGACCTGTCATGGGACCAACTGAGAACGTTATGACCGGTTGACCGAATTTCAGAGGGACCAATTTGAAACTACATGCACATATATTCAGATGAGGCAAGTATTACACGATGATAAGCAAATTAATTCGGCTCACCCGACTAGCGGTGCTGAGATGACATTAACATCACAGCATCATGCGGTGGCATCAACAATAGATCACGATAGGAGATATCCTTGTGATGGCGGTGCCTCTTGAGGCTGTGGAGATGTGTCTAGAAAAACAATACATAGCATTTGTATGTTGTGTGTAGTATGGCACAGATGCAGGTTCGTGAGCATGTAGTGTGATATACAACTTGTGTGGTATGAAAATGAAGATCTTGAGGAAATAATTGGCCGCGCTGCACACCAGGGGGGGCGCCGAATACTTTTAACAGATCATGAAGAGAGCCAGATAGCAATGAAGGGAAAAAGTTTATGTGTCGTAGGATAGGCCTTAGACAAGAAGCATCTGCGACTGCTGCATGACGACACGCCAGTCCACGGGCTCCCCTCGTTCTCGGCTGCTCCACACTTCTCTCATAAGTTGAGCGACCCGGGTACAGTTCCCCACCGTCTCCGTCTGCTGCTCCTGCAGGCGCCGCAGGAAGTAATTGCGATAAGCAAGGACATCCGTCAGGCAGCCACATATGCATATGCTGAACACGACGCTGCGCACAACATGGCGTGCTGTGCTGATGTCTTCAGCACGCCTGAGACATTCGACTGTTTCTGTGATGTGGGTCATGATCTCTGGACATTGAGGGTGATCCCCAGAGATGACGGAATGGAGATAGACAAGGGCAGACGCGCGGAATACGTCAGACGTGAGGCGCCGTCGGCGCGACTGTTCTGTGTCAAAGCCGTAGAGCTGATCGGGGTCACCGGTAGGACTTCAAGATGGTTTCGATTTCGTGTCCGCGTCTGACGAGTTCAGGAACGCTGAGTCTACCAGCACGCCTACACTCGTCCTTCCAGCATGCGAGATCAGCAATTTCAGCGAGGGCGAGAACGATGCGGTTTTCGCATCCCATGACGCCCATCATAGAAAGCTCCGGTCTGCCATCATTAACGGTACCGGTGGAACCATAGAGCGAACGGAGCACTTCAAGGAACTTGGGACGACGGATTAGTGTCGCCGAGGCGAGTACATCGAACCACATGGACGTCTTGATAATAAACTGCATACTGTCACTGCATGAACGCAGGGCCCAGTCTGGCGCAGCATGTTTCCGCTGGAGAACTTTAATTGAAAATTCGCAAGCGCTGTCGAGGAACGCTTGCCACTGCCCTTGTCCTCCAGAGAAGAGGAAATAGGAGACCATGCAAAGGCTTGCAAGAGCATCTCCTTCCGTCACCGGTGCCCTTTGGATGCGTGTGTACACATCATGATCTGATGGTGCAGCGTAACCAATTGCACCTTGGGTGCTCTTTCGGTGCAAATCCGCAAGTAAACATGCAGCCTCTCGGGCTGAATCACTGGAATGTATGAGTTTCCATACGAGTTCACCAATGGACCCGTCGGCATGCAAGTACTGGATACGGAGAACATGTTGCATATAGTGTTGCAATGAGGCGTTTTGTTGCATGTTCAGGTTAACCCAGTTGTGATGCATGGTGTTGTTGTAGTTAACGGATTGGGGCAAGAGATATCCAGAGGGTATGACGTTATACTCGTCTTCGACCGAGAAGGATGCATGGTACGTTGCAGAGAAGTCGCTGGTGTGAGGTCGAGGCAGGTTTGATTGCGTCCCTGCCAAAAGGAGGGCTTGAGTACTATGATACATACATACATTCAGTAACGATACGGGGTCTTACATGATGGTTCTAAGCTAGTCGTATAAGTAGTGGAAGGATACGCAGGCAGCATAACCCCAGGATAATTTTCCCGAGCGTCCAATGGTGAATCAATGTCCTGCATCACGGGAAGTCCTGCGACAGAATGAGAAAACAAGCAAGATTATTCCATGATATGAGTCTTACGAGCATCAGTGTCCCCCCGAAGATAATCATTACGTGTTATACCCGGGTGTCGCTCGTCGCTGGAGATCGACAACGTCGGGGTCTGCGGACTCGTGCTCGGGGAAGCATAGTCCGCCGAAAGTGATAGTATAGAAGGTTCCTGGTCGTTGGGACGAGGCCCAGCACCAGAATGCCCCTTAATCATTCCTTGTGCGGCAAGAAAGTTTTTAATTTTTTCTCGTAGGTCGACGACCTTGTCGTTTGCCTTGAGGGATATAATAAGCCAAATGATAAGGGAAAGATAAAAATAAATAACATACACGCAACCATTCTGGACGCTTTGCGCCAAAACCGAGACATTGTAGACGAAGACGAACACATGTTTGGCAGCTACCGTCTGCGTTGGCCGACTCGTCGCATTTCTAGGAGGGGGTGAATGAGCGCCTGATGACAAAGAGGTGGCGATCGAAGATCGAAGGAATGACGTGCATGCGAGGACCTACCTTCCGGCGGATTCTGCACGTGTAACAGCCCGACTTGGCGCGCACAGCGCCTTTAGCCTTGGGCGCTCCGGAACGCCTAGACTGTGTAGGAGACTTTGGTACAGCGGGCATGATGATTATGAAGATAGAGGTATAAGGGGAGAGTGTGGGGTAAGAAAGATACAGAGAGAGAAATGGTATACAAAGAGACAGAAAGAGACAAGAGGAAGCGACACAGAACGCATTCTGGATGTAGGAGAGTATAAGTACATAACGTTCGACGAGAACGGGGAACGTCAACACCTGTTTAACCAACGAAATGACCAAATAAGGAAAATAGCAAATCTATCAAGATAATGTTTGACATAAAGTACTTTCGGGGTCTCGCATTACCAAACATCCACCCCCATACCATGAGAACTTGGCAAGGGGCGTCTTTTGCTTCCGCGCGTTAAACGGCACTCTTTACATCGCGGCCTTCCAATTCGGGCGCTAGCTGATCATCATTCTATGATCAGGTTGTACAGCTTTGTGTACACTTGTGTATCCACAACATGTCAATTCGCTTCACAGAGTACAGCCATCTCTACGCTTCATCCTAGGTCGCTTCCTCCACATCACTGCCACTTTCATATGCCACAGATCCTGTCAATACCCAAAGGTGGCAAAATCAAGTGGCAGTCCTTTCGAAATACATGTGCCGACCTGCCTCATGCCTCACTACAACCGTTACGGTCGGGGTGGTATCCATCAGACAGCCGGACAAGAGCCCCGTCCGACCCTCTCCGGTTCTTACTTTGAATACCGTCAAGAGACCCCATGGACCAACAATAACGCTCAAAATGGATCTGCTTGTCAAATCCTCCGCGCTTGTCGCTTTGACCAGCTTTGGCCCTGCCAATGATTATCAAACCAGTATTGTATATGAAATGACTGCCGAACAATCAAAAAACGAACTCAGGTCCCATTCGTCCAACCATTGTAGCGCAAGCGAATAGAGGTTGTCTACATAAACTGCAGAACACCAGACTAAGGCATAGATATCGCTAGAAGAGGAATAGAACTGATGCCCGTGAGGCAATAAATGATGACAGTCGAGTTCAAATACAGCCGGGGAAGCATGATTGGAATAAAACTGACGTGAGAGTGTTACATTGAAGGATAACTGGTGACTTGGAAGAATGCCGTTATCTTGGTTTGTACTTTGTTCTAGTCCTCCGAAATGGGCGCTGCGGAAATGCCACTCGGTCCGCTTATACTCAAGTTCCTGACCTTGTGTCTCAACCCGCTACTCGATGCCGATCCTCCCCCAGAGCCCTGATTGGCATCTGCACCAGAAGCCGCCGGCTTCGAGGCGCTAGCGACGTTTCCACTCGAGTCTCCTGGCACAACGCCAGCGCCTGATCGTCGAGCTATAAGAGCACGAATGGCACTAAGCCATTTAATTTCTTCTTCCTCACTTGGAGCACATAAAAGCAGCGTCCTTTTCGTCGTGACTATCTTGAACGTGAAGCGGCCGTGCGAGTCATCCGGTGCTGTTGACGATGCTAATGGCGAAGTGGAAGGAGGAGGAATAGGCGCGCTGTGCTTGTGATTCCGCATATCGAACTCCAGGGCATCGAGAATCTCTGAAAATGAAAACTGCCGATGGGGTTTTGTGTCCTGATAGCCACATTCAATTGGTCCCGTGTTAGCAAGGATCCGACGTGGAGTACAAGAATACCCATTACCATGTGACTTCCCGAATAGACCAATTTTTCGCCATTCAACACGAACCACCGTTTGCGCCAATTATGTCGCTTCGAACCACACTTCATCAAGTAGCCAGATATGACTATCTTTGCGGCTTCTTTTGGTATGGCTTGCGTCCGCGTGGGTGAGGAAGACATTGCAGGTCGATTCTGTGAGGAGGTTGAGTAAGTTCGCTGTGCGCTTGGCGAGGCATCCTCTGAGTCCGAGGAGGTTATATTTTGAGCGTGGGATACTTGTGGTGGCGAATGCGAGACCATAATGCGACAGGGCACTGATTGAGCCCCGGGAATTGGTATAGGGGGTGTTATTAATGATGTTTGAGTTGAAATGGTCATAAGAGCCTCCCTGGCATCCTGTATCGCCTGGACCCACCGCTGAACCTCTACCGGACTTTCGGCCTGGAGATAGAACGTTCTGACAGTAGAGACGACACCAAACGTATTGGTATGTTTCTTGAGCGTGACTGGGGTGCAGGAATGTACGTCGGAGAGATCCAGTAAGCGTAACAGTTGGTATTCCGCATTGGTCTTGTAATACGCGATATGTGCAGGTCGGAGCACAAACCATCGTTTCTTCCATGTCTGTGATAATTGCTATCCACACCGAATGCGAAGAAGACGGTCTTCGATGTACGAACCTTGCGTCGCTCGCCTTTCTTCCATAGATAGCCCGACTTGATCATCTTCTCATCGAAAGAACTGTGCGGTTTCTCGGCCATGGTTGCGGTCCTCCAACCACCCACCTCTTCCTCCTCTTCGTCCTCGTCAGACTCCTCACCACTTCTTGATTTTCCCTCTGCAATGGATGATAGTGGATGCTGAGATGTGCTGCCGGAGACCGCGTTAGAACCATATGACTGAGATGTTGGAGAAACTAGATCGGGAGACAGAGCTGAGTCTGAGTCAGACTCGGTTCCAGAAACGTGTGAAGGTTGTGACACTGGAAGGGCCTGCAGGGTTCAGATCGATCCGGATTATGTGACAAAATCAGGAGAATTAGGGTTGACTTGGTTGGATGCATACGAACCTTCTTAGGTCTAGCTGTTGAATGCACGGACAATTTTCTTTGTACTTCCTGTAGTGACGGCGGAGGAGCTGACCGTGAAGCACTACTAGTCGTCATGGGTGGGAGTGAGATGCGTGTGTGTTTTCGTGACCAACATGTCACAACAATCATTCGTGACATGCAGTCACACCAGCGACGTGGAGCCTGAGACTGCGCTCAGCGACGAGCGCTCGCACTCGACCAATTAGACTTCTGTAAAGGAAAAACGATTAACAGATGAATCCAGTGAGTACTTTTTGCATAAGCGTGCAGTATTATAGGCTAGACATGATTTTGGATGTTGAGGACTAGACTCTAGAGTGATTCACGTTCCATGAACTTATCTACTAGACTACTACGACACCAAGTGCTTGGCCAATGGTGTCTTGTTCAAAGCGACTCTGAAACAAATGGGATATTGCGCGCTTGTCAGCTGATAAGATCTCTGAAGGGAAAAAATGCAGCCGGTTCCAGATCTGGCAATTGCTGCCAGAGAGCTGCGTTCTCTCCTCACCTAGATCAGCTCCAGCATCTTCATCTCTCGCCTTCAACGATGTCCTCTCAATTCGAAAAAGCTGTTGCGTACGTCCAAGGTCTGGACAAGAACGAATCAGGCCCGGATGCTACCATCAAGTTGGAGGCGAGTTATCATTACGTTGAAGACCGTAGATGAGCCATACTGATTGATACGGGCATCCACAGTTTTACAAATTCTACAAGCAAGGTTCTTGTGTTATCTCTGTAGAAGAATATAAACTGACTTTTCGTCGGCGATCAAAGCTACTGTGGGAGATGCGGATCCGGCCAAGCAACCCTCTATGTTCCAATTCGTCGAGCGTGCTAAATGGTGAGTGGAAACAACCCTAGATAAGTTGTCCTAACCTGTCTCGCAGGACCTGCTTGGAATGGCATCAAGGGAATGTCGAAGAAGGATGCGGAGGAGAACTACTGTGAAACAACTTATCAAAGTTCGTGATACTTCCCGCCCGCTGATCTTGTGTCTGAACATGAAATCAGTACCTCAAGGAGAAGCACCCCAATGAGCCCATCCTCAAAGAGCTCGAAGGTTAAACTATCTGTTATGCGACACGTGGATAGCATACTCGTATTTTGTAATTCAACCAAGAAGTGATCGAGCTGCCACTTCACCCGAACATATAGGAGTATTCAACAAGCAACCCAAAACGAGATTGTAATGCCCATCAAAAAGCGCTCGGAACGTGCTAAGTCAGGTGCCTTGGTTCCACAGGCTACCACATGCAATCTCCGATTCAAGATCACTCCAAATAATGATGAAGGGGTGTTCGAGGACCTGTCAGATGACGCCGGCAACTGCGGTGGTCTGCTGTGGTAAGTTTCGGCGCCCGTTTTTCATATACCTGCCACAAGAAGTCGGAGAAGTGTAAAGAACCTTTCAATTTATTCGAGACGATCGGACGGATATGACGAACACCCGGATACCTATCGCGTTCTATTCATTTACAGCGGCAGATGGCAAACAACGCTGTGCTTCTGGTGGCCTAGATGTGGAGCCAAGTTGTGCATGACATAGTGGTCCTCGCAGTGCGGTCCACAGTAACCCAGGTCGCCGGCAGCCCCATGTTTACTGCGGAGATAAACAACTTGCAGTGCAAGTGGGGATTGAATAAAGTTCAAACAGCATCGGATTAATGAGCTTCGAATTCCTCGTGAGTAGTATATGCTCTCGCAAGAAGCACTTTCATGACACACGGTGGGTAAGCCTAACACAACACTGAGGTGTATATACGCGATCATCGCTGTGCCCTGGCGATCAAAGCTTCCCGAACTTTCAAGTGCTGTCAAGTTGAACTCAGTCCAAGGTCGGGAAAATTTCCACGAACATTTTTGAGCTCAGCGAGACGCGCTACACGCGGCATCTGTATTGCTCCGACTGAGGTCTGTCTACATAGGGGAGCCGTAGTGCATTCAGTTTTGGCAAGTACAAGATTGGCTAGTTTCCACAACGTGTCCCTAATCTATTTATCAAGGATTTCAACCGTGACGAACTCAAATCATGTCGTTGGTTTTACACTAAACCGAATAGCAGTCGAGACCAGTCACCTTCCAGCGAACAAATATAGTAGCAATTCCTAGTTCTAATGCCAAGAGCGCTCCCTGACTACCCAGTTCAGCTCTCCTTGAATTCAGGCCTGTGTAGGGTCAACAGCATTGATGGCACGTGTTGGATAAACCGATCATAAGATTGACAACGCAAAAATGTGAGTTTACATGCCCCTTCACTCTCTAATCGCTTGCCGCATTCAGACACACAAAATTCAAGGCTCCTTAGCAGGCTGATTCAAAATTCATCACTTATTCACGCAAGCAGTTGGTTAAACGGTTCAATTCATTCAAAAGCTTCTGTACTAGAGTCCGATCAAGGAATCCGACTGCCCTGGGAGATGTCTCAATAATGTCTCAAGAGCCGGAACTACCCTGTAAAAATACTCCGCAGGCCCGACGGCGGTGTGACCCTAGATCTAACTTCGCACTTTGGTCACCATGGCCCCACTTATACCCAATTGTAACTCACAATCAAGCTCAAACTAACAAATCACATCAATGATACTGGTGTACATATACGTACATATGATCCAGATAAAATAACGGCAGATCGCTAATTGGGAAGCGAACGTAAGCAATAGCAATGCATTATGGAATGCGCTCCTTAACAATGCGGACCCATAAGTGTCGCATCGGTCTCTAGCTGCCAGTGTCCCCATCCGGCGCCGTAACCCTATGCAGGTGAGTAAGATTGTGACTTGGCTTATCGAGTTCGTTCGGAACTTAAGCGCCCCTTTTAGGATGTGCAGTGAAAGCCATGCTTTCGCCTTATCTTTAGGAAATTCCAACTATAGGCACTAAAACCAAGACCAACCCTGAACCTTCTACCTCGGTCACCGGGTTCTGTGAATGCCAGCAATGACAACAAGACGAATAGTAATTCAAATTTTGCCTCGTGTAAGTGGACTTACTATAACGGCCGTAGCACTTTGTCTTGTACTAACGGGTCGGGGCGTATGACACACACAGGTGCACTAAGCTTGACAGGGACAGGGGCACCCACATTTACCCATAGCAGGTTCGTTCTGCATGCTGTCACTGTGTCAAGGCGGTGCTTCGTGGTTGATGTGATCCGTAGCTGTTAGCGACAACAGCAATCATTGTAGTGGACGGGCACCGCCCCACTATAACTCAATAATCGAGTCGACTGTCAAAATAGCGATGAGGACAGAGTTGTCGAACATGATTGATTGTATGTTGACCCAGGAACTGTTATGGGGGCTCACTGTCTTACAAATGACAGACGTGGGCAGATCCCTCAATTAATTCTCTCATAGTCGTCAAGAAGCATTCGGATTCAGTAAATCATTCTAGAACGGTCCCTTCTGTGCTATACTTGTTCTCATGACGGTGCCCGCGTGCTAAGTGTGGGCAGGCTCGTGGTTCCTTGTTCTTCGACTACCGAGCTTGGCTGTTCTAAGTACTCGCGTACTCGTCGCCATCGGTTTCCAGTACATGCACCGATCACAATTTACCACTACCGTAACCAATCATTTGATGTTCCCCTGTGGCAAACATCTTTGATCGTTGGATGCATGGTGCGCCCGGATGATGATCTACCTGCCAAGAAGACATGTGCAATGTTGGTAATTGAGGTCATAGTCCTATTTTCAAGCACGTTCCCAAAGAATGTCCAGGGCACAATGCATGAATCGAGGCCCACAGCAGTTCCCTTTTCTGGTCTGCGTGGCATATACTTACTATTACAACTTTTCCAATCACCGTGCTACCTTCGGACCATAGATATGTGCATTTAAAATAAACTAAACATTTGGTGACCGTGAGGAATAATCGTCAGTCAGATGGTGTCTCGTATTACAGCTACTCAAACAACGACAGTAAAAACAGGAGGGTAAACAATACAATTCGTTCCAGAACAAGTCCAGAGATTAACAAAGGGGCAGAAGTCGCAATTTAGGCACATTGCTTGTCAGGGTTGGCAACATACAACGATGCTCGCGGAGCTAGACCATACTGAATGGTTGGACGGGTACGGGAAGGCACTTCTTCTCGCTTGCGAGTATTCCGCGGAGGTGGAGAACATTCCGCCACTAGATTGTTCGTCACCTGCCGTTCGATTTCCTGAACCCTAGATGTCACAACATGACCTGCGGCCCTTGCGAACCGAGAACCATGAGTGGTGGGTCCAGTCCTCGAAGACTCTTTTGAGGAAGAAGAGGGACATGATGCCAGAGATATAGGTCGGGAAGAGGTAAGCTTGCTTTGATCGGATGATAAGCCACCCAAAATTCCGTGTTCATTTGCGCTAATCGAACCAATCGAAGCTGTTCGATGTGATGTGGATCCGTCCGAAGCAATTCGCTGTACGACATCATAGCTTCCGCCCAGCCGCTCTGCGACCTCAGTGTTCGCTGTCCGGCCACTATAGACAGATGGAGAGATCAGGCGAATATGTCTGACTGGTTGCTCATATTTGGATTCAAGAGAGTCCGGGGAAGCATTCGATTCGTTGATCGACATGAGTGGCGGAGCTGGGTTAGGGTCCCGTAAATCTAGTGGTTTCTGACCGGTAGAATTGCGTCGATCAAGTAGAGATGTCTTCATAAATCGCCCCCACCAGCTGTCTGATCGACGAATGGGGTTCGAAGAAGGTGAATACGAGTCAAGGATGGAGGAGTGGCGCTGTGAAGGTGCAATAGTTGGTGCAGAGGAGTGCAATGTGGATGGCGTCACAGGACTATGAGGCGGCTGCGAGAGAAAGCTTGGTTGGGAGGCATAAATGTTGCTGGAAGAATGGGCGTGGGAAGACGAATTGTTTTGTGAGGAGCCAGGGCATGATGCCAGGGTGTTGGTCGAGTCGGACGCGACCTCATGCAAAGGACTGAGGGTGGGAATGGTTGCGGAGACAGGCAAAGGGGTCCTCAGTGGGCGAAGGGGTGGTAGGTCTCGGCTCCCAACATCAACATCAATGTTGTCATACTCGTCATCAGGCTTGAGTACCCCATGGTCTGGCTGATGCGAGTTGTACTCCCCATCATGCGGCACAGGATCTGAGAATGGATCTGTGTATGACCGTGAGATGCCATCTCGTCCATGGGAGCGTCCGCTGTCGGGCATCACGTTGTACGAGTTGTTTCCCTCAGTCATCAGGCCCTCGCGATCACCCTCAATTTTCTCCCAATCATCCCAACCTTGGCCGCTATTGCCTGCACTGGGCTCCCTGGAAATCATGCCGCGCACCAGAGCGCTCATCGAGCGCATGGACCATGTACTAGTTCCGCCGCTGCCTTCCCTGCGTAATATATCCAGAGGACTGCCCCACCCGAATTCTCGCGTGTCTTCGTCGGCGAACATATCACGGCGCGGACGAGGTGGCAGGGGGGAACAATGTTTGCTTAACCCGAGAGCTGCAGCCAGCGGGAGGGCGCGTGCACCTAGGAATCCGTGACTCCTTTGCTCGGAACGCATGGACAAAAAATTAGCAGGACTGCCATCGATACTGTCATACTCATGGTCACCACCAAGAATGAGGAACCTCCCGTTGCTCGAAGACTGGCGTCCCCGCGAACGTTTAATATACCAGACAGTTGCAAGTCCACCAGCAATGAGCCCAATGATACCGAAGGTGGTACCTAGAGCGATAGCGGTTATGTTATTATTACTAGAGCTGGAATCAGCACCGGCAGTACTCGTTGGATACACCATTGAGGGTGCACCTGCACTCCCCCCACTTGTCCCAGAGTGACTAGTTTGGGAAGGTGCAGGGAGAGAAATGATGGCCGGGGTCGAACCCGCAGGTGGCGGACTATAAGAGGAGACCATGGACGAGCTAGAAGGGTCGTATATTTCCACGGTAGCAGACGCAGGTGCGGAGGATCCGTAGCCTGAGTTCGATCAGACAGAAGTAAAGAGCTAACAGGGATGGACTCACCAAAAGCAAAAAGCACTTGACCGTTACACTGTACTGCCAGGTGGTTCTTGCGAGCGCCAAGTTGCTGAAGGGACTGTGCTTCTTGCCAGACCATTGGATTTTGGGTGGTATTTAGTATCCATCCATCGCTATAGGTTGTCTGTAATTCGCCATCGCCACCCCCATGAATTAGGATTTCTCCAGTAGCGAGAACAACAGCCGCGAAGTCACGGCGTGGATTTGGTATGGTGTAATTCGAGACGGATATCATATCCCATGCGAGGATTGTCTGTGTCGTGTCAAGAGACCAAACGGTATTCAGGGGTATAAGCTCCCCACATGATGCACAATATCCACCCAAGATAAGGAGTCGTCCGTCAGGAAGAATGAGCGATGCGTGCCCATAAATGTCAGGTGGAGCATTACCACCGGATGGAAGCATCACGAACTCTTGTAACACAGGGTTAAAGAGGTAGTGATCAAAGAACGCATTTCCGGATCCATCAGCCTCCTCACCGCCGACAATCCAGACCATCCCGCCAGTTGATGATACTGAATGACGAATCCTCCTCATTGGTTCGCCACCCCAGTTCTGAGGCTCAATGAAAAATGACGGATCCGCACGATCGTAAGCGGAAACAAGTGTAGCAGAATCGTTAAGGGAAGTGAGGACTGTTTGTGAATTCGGTCCTGGTTGACCTCCGAAAAGCAGGAATGAAGTTGTGTTGAATGCAGAGAGTGTGTGCCATCCTAAACTGGGAGAAGAGCTCGTGGTGGTTGTATTTGAGAGCAGCTGCCACGGCGGAGAAGTGGCACTGAAGGATGTGGACAGGTCAAGTAACAATAGTTCTGATGTGGGCGGTGCAGATGTGTACGAGTATTGATCATATTGATCTGTCAGACCTCCGTGAACGTATAGAAGATTTTCCAACAAAGCTACCGCTTGTGCCCATCTATCGCACCGTTCCTGATAAGTGCCCGTCAACAAACATAATTAACGTACCTAGGTAGCGGAGTATATTGACATAGGGCAAGTGGTATCATGTAGTGCAGCACGGCCGCGGCGCGCCAACTACTAGCCATGACATATATAGAACCTATCTTGTTCAGTGACCTATGCAAAGAATGGACAGAAAAGTTGGAGAAAAGTATAAGTTAGTTGTAAGAGCGAGATATAAGTCGTTTTTTCGTGAAATGTCGTCGCGGAGGAGAGTGCACGAGCTGGTGGAGAACCTGAGTGCAGAACGTTCTGTCACATATAGGTATGCGGCATGTACTACAACTTGAACCGCAGCTGTGGGCCTGGGCCCACGTGGAAAATAACAAACGCTTTCAAACTTCAAATTGCTTTCGAACATGGAGGGCTGTGCCAAAGCTTTACCCGAGTACATCGCCTGACTCAGGCTGTCACAAGTTGCAACGCTGAGCCCACGAAAATATTGACTATGTATGTAGTATCCACCAAAACAATAAACACCACTTCGCAGTGGTTCGCAACATCAAAGCGTCTTAATGTGCAATCACTTATGACTACTTCCGAGTCAGTAGTGGACACGCCGGGCGCTCAAGAGAGGGAAGAAATGTTAACTGCCGGTGCCTAAACGTGCGCGTGAGCACTCACCCTGTCACGGTCACCTTGAAATCCCTAGCAACTCTGTGACGGGCGGTGTGCCAATTGAAGATGAATGCCAATAAGTCCCGAACCTTACTTATCCGCTACCAACCCAATTTTTATTGCATCCAAGTACTGATGTTACCAACTACGTGGATTCAGAATTTCAGATATGTTTACGAACTAGTATTTAGACGCTCGAGTTAGTGCATGGTTTCATGAAGGCACGTGTAAGTCAGGTGCAAGTCATATCAGTACCGTACATGCACACTCGGTGCTTTCGTACAGATTGACGTTGCTCTATTCACAGAACAGTTATCAATCTCCAGTTCTTTTTAGTCCATGCCCTCCGCCCTTGCAACGACCTGCCCACACACCACGACAATCTATGACTACTACGCTTGTTGATAATCAAGCCATCTCCAAACCTACTAAGTCTGTCTCTGAGTCCGTGCCGATCTCGACTTTGAGCTCATACAGTCAACTTGAATCTAGCCTGGATGATCTGACAAAATTCATAACCAAGACTAGTAACTATTCGGTGGCATGTGGTGGATCCGGTTCAGTTTACAAATGGGACTATAAGTGCGAGGACCAGTTATTGCAAGTGTGTTTCAGGACTTAGTATAATTCAGTTACGAGCTATGTAACCTGACATAATTTCAGGTGGCGGTCAAGAAGTTTTATCGAATTGACTCGGAAGACAGAGAAGTAAGAGAGTATTCATTCATTTTTAATCCGATATTCCTCACCATCTTTGAATTGAAGGCGCTGAGGAGAGAGATAGGTGTTTGGAAGAGATTACGCCATGAATGCATTGTTCCACTTCTAGGTTATACCAGAGACGATCCATCCTGAGCCTGTGTCCTTAGTGTCGCTTTGGATGTCTAAGGGGACGCTCCATCGATATCTTGATGGTAAGATACGGGATGACAAGTACCTCCTGGTGAGTTGTTTCAAGCATCCCTGGGCCTCATTTGTCCATTAACTTGATTTAGCTGTATAACGTGGCGAACGGCCTACACTACTGTCAGTGCTTATGATTGACACTATCTAGCGGTCGCTGATTTTATGCGATTCTAGTACATTCGGAATCTGTGGTGCACGGAGACCTCACGAGTGTAAGCCTTTATACCATGAACTCCAGGGATACCAACAGATGAAACATTGTATTTGGCAGATGAATGTGTTGATCGACGAGAAAGGTCAAGCGTGCCTCGCTGATTTTGGGTTGTCATCCATGGTCAAGATAGGTGAAGATTTCGAATACCTCCGTCCCCACGTGAAACAGCATGGAGCTTTCAGTTGGTCAGCACCTGAATTAATCAGTTTCGATGGAGATGAAGATGAAGATGGAGTTGTAATGAGTTCTCTTAACCACAGAAGGGTTACGAGAGATATATGCCATCTCCTTCAAGTGACATGTATTCTTATGGCTGCATCATGTTTGAGGTGAGTTTATTGGGAGTCCAGCAAACGGATTGCAGTGACGGGGATGATAGGTTCTTTCCGGCAAAGTTCCTAAGGTGACGCTCAGGTGTGCCATGGAAGGAAAGACACCTGAGCGTCCACAAGCCGTGCGGGATGAGGATTGGATATTTATATTACAATGTTGGCTGTCGCTCCCATCCCTTCGACCTGTCGCATCGCAAGCACTTAAATTCGCTGGAACTCTAGCTCACCCGTCCATCCCCACAGGTAAGGCATACTGATCGTGTTGCATACGAGCCGTCGAAATTGAGACTTCCCCCTATCATGTAGAATCTGCCGAGACGTCCAGTCAAGCTTCAATATACACTGCACATCTTGATGACGCAAACGTCTACAACTTATCTTCACTGGTACCTTCACATACGCAGCCGGCATTTTTGAACCCTGAAGCATGCTGGAAATCGGTTCATAAGCTGGCGAAAGCACTCCTTGACCTATTCAAAAAAACTATCCGAGGGGACCAGCGTCTCCTTAATGATGCCATCCAGCTGTACCATGTTTCCCTCGCCACACTCCCACCCACTCCCATACCTTCTTCACTCCACGAAGTTATTGCGGCCATCCCTCAGATTGGCACTGGGCGAAGAGATGATGAGAATTCGGATGCAATTGAACGCCTTCGCCTTCGCATGGAATCGGTCGATGTCAACGATCCCTTTCATTTCACGGGTTCCAGCTACCTTAGCCTTGTCGATATAGCCAGGCACATAACAGACAAAGGTTCAGATTCCATTTCCAGCGCCAAAATTTGGTACAGAAAATCCTTCGGTGATACCATCAGTGGTGTATTATGCCGCTTACAGATAGCGCTGGCGTGTGCCCGGATCGCCGAAAAGGTTAAGGGGGAGGATAAGTTCAGGCTTGAGGCATACGAAATGTCTCTCCAGCTATTGCAATCACATATATCTGCAACGCCCACCCTGACATGGGCGGTGGAGCATCTCTCGACTTCTCTTGCAGTCGATGCGGCAGCGACGGCACTGGGTATAAAACAAGTGAACAAAGCTGTGGAGTTGTTGGAGTGGGGGAGAGAGCTACTGTGGACATATATCGCGCGGTCTCGCACCAGCAAAAAAGAAGAGGAACAGGAGGAGAAAAAGCAAAAGGAACAGGAGAAGGAGAAGGACCAAGAAGAAGATGGTAAAAAGATCTCGAAAGTGGAGCAACTGAACTTGCTTGTGAGTGGTGTACTAGACACCTCACAAGAAACTTCCAGCCACAAAAGCGCCGTCGTGCCTAATGCAAAAGTACACGAAATACGGGAGGCGGAGGGTACACCACGCTCACATCCTCAAATATCTGATCTGCTGAAAGCAACGCAGGATGGCCCGGTGGTCATGCTCATCGCAAGCAGACGATCATGTGATGCTATCATCGTATCCAACGCGTACCCCAAGCCGCTTCATGTACAGCTGGAGATAACCTTCAGCTGTCTCGCAGAGTTGTCGACTACTTTCCAAGCTTGCACCTCTTCAGTGTCAGAAGACCCTGACTCGGTAGAAGACAAGCTGAAAGAGATACTCTGCTGCCTGTGGTATGATGTTGTGGTTCCGGTGATCGCTCAGTTGAAAGAGAAAATTCCACCGGGGCGTAACTCTCGAATATGGTGGTGCCCCACTTCGGTTTTCTCCACCTTGCCGGTGCATGCGGCAGGGGATTACACTGTGGAAGGGGAACAATTGCCACAGCAGTACGTTTCATCCTACACTTCCTCTATCTCGTCACTAGTTCGCGCTCGCAATTGCGCGGACCATCCTGTGTCATCTTCGAAGTTTGCTGCAATTTACCAAGCAAAACCACTTGAAAATGACGAAGGGAAGGAAGTTGAATATCCTGCGATCGAATTCGCAGAAATGGAGCCTGAGATGGTGAAACGCAACTTACCCCCGTCACTCTTCTTCACAAGATTCCCCGATGCAACAAAGGAGGACGCTGTTGAGGCCTTCAAAGACCATGGATGGTTCCATCTGGTAGCTTATGCTACACAGAATGCTTATCAACCATTTAATTCCTCCTTTTTAATGCGCGACGGCTTGCTGTCGCTTCCCGACATCCCCCTGGCCTGCTCTGAGCCAAAGGAGTTTGCCTTCCTTTCTGCGAGACCAGTTGGATCACGGTTCAGATGGATGCAGAACGAGACTACCCAGTTTGCTGCTGGGTTGCAATTTTCTGGATTCAAAAGCGTTATCGGAACAATGGGAAACTTGAATGACTCCGAGGCCTATGAAATCATCAATAAATTCTACAAGGCGATCTTTTGTACTGAGATCCTAGATTGTGCCCGGGCCGCGCGAGCGTTGCATGATACTCTGGAGGAAATGGCTAAGAGTGAGTTGTCTTTCAGACAAAGAATCGCCTTTGCACATTTCGGACTATAGCCAGTACAAGATTTGGAGAAGCACTGTCCTACATAGAGTATTCCTCTCAATGGACAAAAAACTGGATTAAAAAAAAAAAAAAAAAAGATTTGGAGAAAGATGGATATGGAACCAGGGCAAGGTCTATTGCACATATCTCGTGGAACCTTTTGGGAGCAATTATTGATGTACAAATTGTACTTTTAAATTTGCGAACGCTCACCAAGTGAAGTATCTACAACGAAAACACAACAGCAGTGAAGGATATCATTCATGGCGGTGAAATATTCTTCGAACCTATTCATGCAAATATGTTACAATAGGAGCTGTGATTCTGAGATCAGACTTACAGCAGCCCACAGTCTGGCCCAAGATAAACGTCTACGAGGGGCCATTGCTAACGATGCTTCTCCGACAAGCTCAGGATCTGTAGCGGTCGCCCGCAACTTCACACGAAAACAGTGAGAGGAGGAGGCACCAAGGAAAGAGATAAAAACCTGTGAACGCCGCTGAACGGCACTTTGGTTGGCCCTAATGATAGCCGGTCCTCTCGCAAATGGTACGTCTACCACCGATACACGAAACGGGGCAGCCAATCGCTGCCGCAAGGGCCTCCTGGTACCATTCCGAAATTGTGAGGGAGCCTCTCGGGACCCATTTGAGCCCATATTCTGATGGATAAGTTTATGATACTGTTGTATTAGATAAAAAGATGAACGAACATACACGGAAAAAGTCAGACGAAACGTCGTAATCGAGTGATCCAGTGACGTCGGCCTACACAATTGTCAATTCTGCGCAGTCTCGTAGGTTAAATCCTAACATTGACAATGTCGTTGAACCCGCTCTAGCAAAAATGTGAGTACAACATAAATCGTAATGATATTCTAGCACTTACATCCTCCGCATACCCCCTGTGAATCTTCGAGGTGATTTTTCCGATGTTCCAGGTGTACAATTTACCCCTTTCAGTACAGGCAGCGAGAGTGTTTTCATCGTCAAAAAGTGCAACACCATTCGCCTCGTCGAATTTAGAGAGCTCGAATGGGCCAGCAAGGCGCTGGCGAGTCTTGAGATTCCAAAGGTATGCGTGGTCGATAGATGCAGTTGCAAACACGTGTGCTGATACTGCAATGTAGTTGATCGTATGCAAATGTGCATGTATCGCAGGGCATACTTCTTTCTGCTCGGAAACACCCCATATTCGAACAGTATGATCGACAGATCCAGATATGATTTGACTTCCATCCTTGGTCCAAACAACTGAAGAGACGGACAATGTATGGCCGCGCAGTGTTGCTTGTATATGCCCTTTGCGGGCATCCCAAATTTTGATCGTAGAGTCTTGCCCCCCAGTAGCGACACTCTCCCCATTCGGGGAGTAAGCAACGGCGTGAACAGCCTCCTGTTCGGTTGGAAGAGGTTCGAAAATAGGCTCCCCTGAATCAGCGCTGCAGATTATGAGAGTGCTGTCTGCTGAACAGGACGCAATATGGTTTCCATCTGGAGACCATGACACAGACCAGACTCTCTGTTTATGCAGCTTCCAGGGTCCAGCGAGATGCTCGCCGGACTCTGCATTCCAAAGCTGGAGAGCGCAGTCACGACCCCCGCTGACAACTTTTTTGCCATTATGAGAGACTGAGACAGCAGTAGCGCCCTTGTGAGACCAGCGGTATTCTTTTTCCTTTGTTCTGAAATTCCAAACAACGACAGTGTTGTCATCGGAGGCACTCACTACCCGTTCGTTATCGGGAAAGGGGGCAACACACCATGCCCGTCGCTCATGGCTGCCAAGAGTATTTCTATGGATTTGTTCTTTTCCAGATGAATTGGAAGAGGGGTCGCCGTGAGAGGTTGCTGCGGCCATGATGTATTACTAGAGCAAAATGATACGAGTGAGTGATACAGCACACATGGAAGTCCAGGGTGCTACCTACCTACCGGAAGGAGATGGAGGCCATCGAGTACGAGATCTCAATGTGCGGCTGTTCTAAATAATGCAATGAACAGTTGTTGCCTTCTGTAGGGTCCATGTTTGTTAGCGGTGCATGTTGATCTTCGGCAGTGCAGAATGTCGCCTGTCTACTACAGTGAGAACAAAGTTAATCGGTTCCCGCCGAGGGTCTCGTTCCAGTGCCGTTTCGTGCTGTGCCTACACCGACATCAAGCTGCCGACTGTCATCAGAGGCGCGACCGAACTTCTCGAAGCCTATCTGCAAAGATAAGACACTGGCTTCAGCGCCTACCGCACCCCCGGTCAAGGTCGCTACCTCGAAGCCGCGGCCTGCCAAGTTTCTTTAGCCAAGTAAACTGACATGAAAGATTGATTGAAGAAGCAAGGTACACTTACAGCGTAGATAACAGACGCTCATTTCATACATTGTCACTCAAATCTTGTGTCCAATGGTGTCAACGAATCGCATCCATGTCAATCGGTGTTAGGCTTAGAGAAAAATCTTCGACCATCATGATTGAAAGGATTTCCGACATAAGCCCAAGGGAGCTGACAAGACTGGGGCGTTTCGAAAAGGTGAAGGCTCGGAATTTCACAACAGGTGTTTAGTAATTGTATGCTACTAGAGTCTAGGAGTGAGCGAGGGTCTACCAATGCAGACGGTCACATCCGAATCGAATGAGTCGGTAGCAAGTACTTGCTGTGACGGTCGGTCACGGCAGAGCCTGAGCCTCGGAGAACCTTGCTATAAAAATTATCATGACATTGACTGTTTATCACGACTCAGTACTTAGTAGCGCAGCCAATCAAAATCGAGTTCTTGCCGAAGAGCATGAGGATTGTCATTTTCCAGTTGCATGTATCAGTAACTTCGACGATTGCTAAGTGCAATATACTATTAGCCTGATGCCCTGTCACAAGCTGCAACAAGCACAGAACTATCTGTAAGCCAAGAAGATGACAGACGTATTACGCTGCACTGTTATAACAGACGTCGAACGTGCATGATCTATAATCCTCCATAAACTACGAAAAAAGAGTTCTCAAACCCGCTTTGTAAATGTCAGCGGAACATCCCTGACGCCCATTGTAAGAGTCATTCTGGCTTGCATGACTCTTTCGCGCCATTCCTCTTTGGTTTCCTTTTCTCCGGTAGAAACATTGACGGACAGGAGAGGCTCGACGCGCCAGTCGCGTAGAAGCAGTACCAGGAAACAAACAGCCTCGGTCGTCGCGAACTTTTTGCCAAGGCAAGAGCGCGGCCCTGGAACCAGCGTTGAATGGTATGAAAGAAACCGGTAGCATCGTACATACCGATGCTAAAACCAGTGTGATCTTCGCCGTCTGCAATATATGCATTGCTCGTGCTGTTCGCATACCATCGTGAAGGTTTGAACTCTTCTGGGTCAGGGAAATATTGTGGGTTGTAGTCTAGTCATCCTGTAGGGTGAAAGAAGATCCAAGAACAAAACAGCCACACGTACGGACACCAACCATGTCGACCACAGCCTATTTATCCACAGCATGAGATGAGGAACAATCTTCTGGGGTAAGAGTTGCAGCTTACATGTGTACCTTTCTTGACTGGCAACATCTTAGGTTCCTCGTCAATGCCTGAAAGATTGAGCACGGTGTCTTGCTTCGCCTCCCTTATGAGATATACACCAGCAGCTGGGAGGGGCTCAGTTCAAACCTGGTTAGAAGGAAAGTCACATACGGAACATTCTGATTCCTTCATAGAATGCTGCGAGAGCCTTGTCCAGTTTGCTATAGTCGTCGAAGGTCTAAAAATACGATTAGGTATGCATCGGAGACGTCTGATTTCGAACAGGCTCACAATTTCGCTATTGCCATGCCCTTTAGTGACTTCGTGAACTTGCTCGACTATCTCATCCTGAATAGATGGGTTTAATGACAAGAAACCAAGAGTAGCTGCCAGACTGTGTGATGTGGTCTCTGCGAAAAATTGATCAGAACCTCAGTATGATCAATGTGGTAAAACGCACCATGGCCAGCAAATAGCAATGCAAAGATATTACCGATCTGCGATGACCATTAAGCAAAACAGTCTCCAAATTTTTGAAAAGAATACCAATTCCTCGTTATCCAGATGTCTTTTGCCTTCATCATGTTCGCTCGCTCGAACAAACAACGAAAGTATGTCTTTCGATGTGTCATCATCTGCAGAAGAATTTATGGCATCACGCCTCGCCTGGATGTGGGAATTCATGAATGCCCTCATGGTATCGAACGCTTGACGCGTCTGCCGAACCCTATGGATCAGAATGTCAATGGCACTCAACTCAAAGAATTGAAGCAGGAAGAGCTACCATGGCAGAGGCAGTTTCCAGGCCCAATTTGGAGCTGCAATAGCAAAGGTATTTCTAAGCGTTATAATTTCCATGCACTGCTGGATCGACATCTGTCCATCATGAGAAGGGGGTTCTCCCCAGGAAAAGGGGAGACCGAAGCCGCAAGTGGCAATGATGATGAGGGTGAACTGCAAATAGTTAGCCTCGAGGATGAACGCTGCACAGGGACACTTACCTTGGTTGTCAGTGATTGGATACGTGGAACGTTCGTTGTCCCTTTCTCTGACCACCCTTCACAGTCGATCATGTCAGAATATACTTTATGTGTAGCATTCCAGACAAGTTGATAGCTGTGAAATAGGTTATGGTAGGCTTTTCCCGAAGCCACGCACAAAAACGCACGTATCGTTATTAAACGCAGGTCCAGCAATCCTCCTGTGCTTTCTCCATTGATCCTGAGACGCCGCAACAACGATACTCGGACCCCAAAACCTGACATTGATTAGAATGAAGCGATGGTTTGACGGTGGGAGGCCGACTCACAGAAACGCACGACCCATATCATCAGTCTTCCCAAATGCACCCGTCTTATGACCAACGGTCACGACCTGCTTGGTGACATCCATCGATCGTGTATATATCGATGGTGCGCCAGAGATAAAAGGAACCACCGAGACCGTGTCACTGCCAAAGCGACGATAAACTAGTGGCGGGCGGGGAGAATGGTGAATACACCACATGTACAGTGAGAATGTCGGGACTTACTGTTTCTAGTATGTCTCCACGTCCAGACGAAGATTACACCTGGTGGATTGCATTAGGCGATAGCATCGAGGAAAAATCCATCATACCTGGGTTCCATGACGCTTCTGGTACGAGCACACCTAACAAACTGAGAGGCTGAAATGGCACCCATAAGCCCGGAAGGTAATCCACCGCCTAGTAAGCGGAGAGATTAATATCGGTTATGAAAATAATGAAGTCATAAGCTTCGCACCTTTAGACCCGACAAAAACTTTAAGACCTTTGAGATTGTGAATGTTGCGACCAGCGCAGTTGTCGCAGTTGTCCAAGATAGATCTACACAGCATATTAATTTCAGCCATATCCAGGTTATCAAAGAATCCACTAACCCATTCCTGATTATATGAAATTCAGAATACAGTATGTACGTACGCCCAACGTACGCCGCAAAGGAAGCTTCGAAGTTCGGATTGAGGCGGAACTTATCTGGCCCAAAAAACCGTGAAGACGACTCGTGTGTGCCATCGGCCCCTCCCAGCACCGTGGCAACCACATTTCACAAGCAGAACGCTGAAACACTGCTAAATATCAACAAGCATGAGAGCACCCTCGGACTGAGTAAACGCATCGCAGTCTCCTAGTGATCGGGCGCCGATGGTGAACGAGGTTATTCCTGTGGCGGATGTTGGGCGGATATGGAATGAAAGAATGAAAGTCAAATACGGAGCGCTCGCGGTTATCAATCGTCTTCCGACTCTTCAGCCACTGGTAGTATCGCGCTACCTCAACGTTAGACAACAAGTAGCTACAAAGCAGCCAAGGGAGGAACTTACTAGCCGCCATCATCATGTCCGAAACTCCATGGCATACTGTGTAAGCATGTCATCCCCATCTTCCAGTCTCATCCAAAGCTGTACCACCATGATAGCACCATACGAGTCCCCTTTGCAAACCCAAAACATGCGACGATAGCAATGCAAGTGATTGATGTAGATCCAGAGCTTCAGAGACAGGCCGTCAAACGCACTTTGACAGTGGATGGCAATGATCTCGTCGCGTATGTATTCATGAGAGGTCTCGAGCCTATCACACATGATATTTAACGAAACGCAGGTCATTCGCGACTTCGACTGTTCGACTGGCAAGGCTGACAACGAATGGCTTTCTGGAGAATGTAGATCTAGTAGCCCGGACTATTGGCGAGTTTGGAGAGGACTCGGAACGAAAACAAGTGATTTCCAGGTGATCATGCGGAGAACAATGGCTCGTGAGGGAGATAGAGTTCCCTTCAACGGTCTTCATGGTAATACAGAAAAAGTTCACCGATCGCCGAACTGCGATTGTCTACTTTACACGTAATTTTGTTCGGCTATGCATCATCCGCGTTACCCTCAGCTTCCTTTGCCTTCTTCTTACTCTTTTTGCTCTCACGGAGGGACTTGGACAGCAGGCCTTTGAGCTCATCATCTTCCAACTCCTTCTCAGCCTTCACCAGCTCCGGCTTGTACCACACTGGTGGGTGAGTCAGCAGCAGCGGGCCAGCAGGAACTAATGCGATCGTAAAGTGGAATGCTGCCACAAATGTGTTTGCAGGAGTGTACCTACGGCGATGTCATCAAGAGCGTTAGGACTTAGGGATGTGATCCACGTACACAACTTCATACGGCTTGATCAAGCCATGTTGCACGGCCTCTTGAAGACCAAGTCTTGCTCTCTTCTCATCCTCCAGCGCACGAACATTGAATGGGAAGGCGCCAGCCTTTTTCTGTACTTCAGAGAACACGGCGCGCGAGTTCTTCATCTTCAATTGATAAGTTACTGAGCTATCTTTTTGGTAGATAGTCGTCCGAGAGTCCTCGATACGTGCCTGTCGAATGTTCAGCGATCAAGATTCATTTTCGCTCGCAGTCAGCATCAGACCTTGCCATCCTCTCCTGAAGAAATGAGAATATCAATTCCATAAACTTCGTCTTCCGCGAATGTGATCGATTCGGTATCGCGTTTCTGCGTTTCATTCGGGTTGAGAATAATGCGCTTCTTGCCATCAATGACATTTTGCGACTGCTGACAAGAGAGCATGCCTGAATCCATAGCATCAGATCCGAATTGCTTGCACTTCAGTCCATCACAAAACTCACCTTCAACAGGCTTGCAATCCCAAGCCGCGGCAGTTTTCGCGACGGCATCGGTGACCGTAAAGTTCTTATTGCCGACCTTCATGAGCCTCATGGCGATCTCAGCTGCATGCCAAGCTGCCTTGATTACATCTGCTTTTCTGCCAGTTACGGGTTCTTGCTCAGATGCGCCGACAACAATGGTCTCCGCACTAATGGCAGCAAAACCATCGATGTGTGCACCGATGTGGACCTTCACTACATCGCCTTTAGCAAGGACCTGGGCTGATAGGGGATCTGAACTATAACAGAGTGAGTTGCTAAAGGGTGCACACGATGAAATATAAAAATCCACGCACGCCAGGGGTGAGAAATGGGAGACAGTGTTGTTTACAGAAATTGATGTGGGGAATGCGAGGCCTTTTGTCGAAAAGTCATAAACTTCATTTCAAAAACATAAAAGTGATCTGACGCACCCTTGCTCATTTTAACGCCCTTCACGGCTTTGTTGTAAACTCCACCAGTCCCCTCCTCGATGAATTTGTCACCCTCGATACAGAGATCGATGATCTTTGCGTCCTCGACGCAGAGTAGGATCAGCTTCTTCATAACATCGTTTACGATGTCACCAGCAGTCTATACGACATCGCAGTCGTTCGATCAGACTTCATGAACTAAGCACGGTGATTAACATCCTTCATACCTTATACTTTGTTACATCGGCTTCGCTGATCAGCCGTGGTTTTTCTACAGGCTTTGGTGCGTCTGTGGTAGCCTCGGCCATAGTGTAGGATAGATGCAAGAATAGGAATAATCAAAAGAAGAAAATGCACACGAAGATTGGATGGATTGACCTGCAGGCACCTTCAAACTTGGTATTCCCGATATGGTATATCATCAAGACAAAACTCCTGAGTACTCCCGAGTCTACGATGCCCACTCTCCTCAACGTGCATGCTAGAAAATATTCTTCAATACAATACTGATAACTTCCCAAAGACCAGCATCCATTCCCGTACATATGCTAGACAAGTTCATTCTTTCGCTTGAAATGGAACTTGCCGAGTCCCGACGGACGTATTCGTAACAGTTCACTGGCCAACGTAAGCCTATCTGGAACATTTTTTGTCAGCTCATGAAGCAATCTCAGCACCTGAGTGCCAGCGCGTAGTTCTGTGACCACGTACCTGCTGCGCCCAATTTGCCGATTTTTTTTCAAACTGACTCAAATGTAATCTCATTCAGCAGTTTCCTGACATCTCTCCAGGTAGTCACGGTGTTCCTCAATATTCCAACCAATACACACATCACAGCGCCAGGGAAAATCTAGAACCTGCCACAGCTATTGTACCCGATGCGTTGTCTCTACCCGCACGGTTACCCGGGGATTCTTCCGAGTCTGCAGTGGGATACTTTGACACGTTGAGGGTGTAATGTGGCCATGTGTATTCATGCAGTATCACTGCTAATGCCAAGGCAGAGTCTTCAGTCCGGTGCTCTGCGGTGGGAGGACATAAAGTCTGGCTACCATAAATCTCGTCCGTACGCTTCACCCAGAATGCTTAATACTACTATGTTTTGCTTATGCTAGAGGTGCGCCTAGGAAGGCATGAGGGTGTGGGATCACATGAATTCATCCAGGAAGGATTGGGACCGTAGCCAATTGCTCCTAGTCGGTGCATGCGAGCGGCCGACAAATATTACGCTACTGACACATTCACAGCCTCTCCGCAGAGCCGAACGAAAAAGAAACAAGGTACCTAACAAGGACGAGCTCATGGATGCTCAAGTCCAAATCAATGTTTATAGATCTGGTCGGCGGAAGGAGTCGAACAAGCTGAAGTAATACAAGATAGTAAGTTGAGCGTGCAATATACACACTAACTTATGTTTCCGAGGGCTACAACCGAATGGTACAATGTTCGGGCCAGGTTCATGCGATGGACACCGGCAGGAGGAGATGCATAGGGTATTGGACTTTCTCTGGTAGTACGTATGCTCTCTACCAGCACTCACGATAAGGCTTCAGTCGCCCACGCAGCCATACTCAGGAATGATTAGGCTACTGCGTTTTGAGAATTTCTCTGACATACCATATCTGGTACAAACAGCTACGCGGAGCGTTGATTCTTGACCCATGGAGATCTTGATTCTTGGTCGCCGCACTGTCATAGTTTCAGTTTTATTAAGCCCCTTCTCTGAAAGGTACCTCTATCCAGGAGACTATCCTGGTACGTGCTTCTACCGGTGGGATATAAAGAGGAGGAACGCCATAAGTGCTACCAAGTAATTAATCCTTCTCATCATGAATTGATGCTCTAATTTGCCTATAGTTACACTTGCTAGTCCATCGAATTGAAAGTTCAAAGAAGTGTACAGCCTCAAGGCGAAGACACGCCATACGTGTCTCTATACTCCCTCATTGCCTGCAAACTCTTCTTCTCTTCCTCTGTTGTCTGCCCTTGTGCTTCCTTCTCCTCTAACCACTGCACCAAGTCCCGCATCTTCAAGACACTTCGTACCTTCCCCTTTCCTCCCAGCAAACTCTCCAGCTTCATCACCGAGCTGACCTTGCATCCCTGCTCGTCTATCTCGGAAAACTCTTCCCGATCGAGAAGCTGTACAACGCCCACCACTTCTCCGCCTTGCCGAGCCACAAGTTTTATAGCGGAGCTTGCTGCAAGGCCAGTGGTCATGACGTCGTCCACAATCACTACACGCCATTTCTCATTGCGATTTGACGGCCATCCGACAACACTGCCGCCTTCACCGTGATCTTTTGCTTCCTTCCGATCGTATGCGAATTTGACATCGCGGCCATACACGGATGCAAGCACGAGTGCTGTGCAAGCTGCGAGTGAAATGCCTTTGTAGGCAGGTCCAAAGAGAATATCGAAGTCGGAAAAGGGGTTGACCGTGGTATCATCGTCAGAGGCCGCAGCGCAGAGGGTGGCAGCGTAAGCTTGTGCGACTGTATGTAAAATGGTACCATCGGACATGAGACCAGCGTTGAAGAAGTAGGGAGATTTACTGGTGTGTAAGTCCAGGATAAGTCGATGGAAACAATCATGTATGTCACTCACCGGCCAGATTTGAGCGTGAAGTTGCCGAATTTGAGAGCGCCGACTTGCGCAGCTTGCTCGAGGAGCTGTGTTTTGTAAGAATCGAGAGAAGACATCGTGGCACGTAACGGAGAGGGTCTAGGGAGTCCGTAATTCGCAGATAAGATAGTCTCAAAAAATTGGTCCGCGTCCGAGTCTGCGGCTATTTTGTAATTTTGAAACGCATCACGTGAACAATCCATACTGAACTAAAACGTTGATCTTGCGGAAAAGCACTTGTTGGAGTCTAAAAACATTGATACTTGAAACACACAGTGATGATCAAAATGCCGGTACGGTTGCCCGAGGATATCAAGACAGGGAATGTAGCAGAAAACCTTTTCCATTGCAACGATATCAGCACCCCATATCATATTCGCCAGACCATCCGTACCTTGAAGATGAAAGACTCGGCGGACGCCTCCACTTTCATCGGGCAGCACGTCTTTCTTCGTGGAAGGCTCTTGGCCATGGGTGTCTACGCCGATGACGAAGCCGTCTTCTGTTTATTCTTGGGACTGCCGGCGACGCTTGTGTGGCAACAATTTAAGTCAGGACTCATACAGCGCATATCATGGGACCACGATGCGTTCGTGAACACCACCATCTCCACATCTTCCTCGACGGAGCCGAACCCCCTCGCGCCACACACCTTTGAAAGCTGCGCGGCACGTATTATTTCCGAGGCATCGCGTCTTGTCGACATGCAAACTATCGCGTCCTCCCGCCCAGAAACCGAGCATGCACACGCAGAAAGAGCTGCAAGAGCGGTATAGAACACCAACCCTATCACCCGGCTACCCAAGCATAAGTATAATCCAGGTGGTGTACTTTGCACGACGCCTGGATGCGGGAGGGGAGATCATGACCATGATCATTGTTATGCGAAAGGTGGCAGCATGGAAGGTCGAGCTCCATGGCAGCGCAAAAAGAAGAAGTTGACTAGTACTCACGCGGCAGTATCCGCCACATCAGTATCCACTACGATCCCTGCATTTGCCACACCAGCGAACCCCGCGCCCTTCACTTTGATCTCTCATGCGTCCACAGGGCCCACCTTCTCGCCACTTATTTCCCTCTCGCCACCCGACAGCGTGACTCATATTATCTCTACCATACTGGGCTGTAGCACCTCGTCCACGCTCGTTAGAGACCGTGAATTCTTTTGGTCGTATTCTACCGCCAATCCTGTCACCGTGCGCACGGCCAATGGCGGGCATCTGGCCATCTCTGGACGTGGTGATTGCGTAGCCTGGCTCGCTATCAACGGAAATCGCCATCGTATCCGTCTGGCAAACTGTCTGCATGCTCCCGACACGATGGTCAATATTCTTTCGGTTGGGCGGATGATCACTAAGGGCTGGGGTTGTAATTTTCGTTGTAATCCACCTCGTTGTGAGCTCGTGTATCGTGGAATTCCCGTTGGGGATATTCTCATGTCTGGGGGACTCTTCTCTGTCGATCTCACTTTCATTCGTCCTGTGCCGGAGTCTATCTCGCTCGCTCCACAGCACAATGCCTTTTCCTTTGCGAACATTGCTCAGAACCTCGAACTGTCGCTCACTTGCATTAGAGGTGACACCGATAAGGATCCGGAGGAGTGCTGATTGGGCAGTCCCACCCTATCCAAATTCAAGTCTTGCATCATGCCCACTAACGTATGAAGTATCGCAACTCGGCGCGGAAAACGTTTTTTCATATTCCTCACACGAACGTTCTCGACCGTCTCGAGCTTCTTGCCAGCCACAATCGGAAGCGTGGCATATGAATATGATTTCGTCGGAAAAGAGCAATTGCAATTTTCATCTCTCGCATATTTTTACAACCTTCGCACGACTCGATTCTTATACCTAAACTATCGATCCATGACACTGTATCGATCTTGTCCAATGTTATTGCACTTCTTAATCTATTCGTCATAAGCTCCTCTGTACAGATACATGATAACGTATAGTTCACAGCTGCTTCTTGACAACCACGCGTCCCAGGTTTAGGTCGATTTCACACCGTCACGGCCGCGACAATCGACGATGAAATAGAGCCCCGGGCGGCTCCGATCGCTTAACAATACTGGTTTAAATGTAAAAGACCCTATATGATATATCGCTCTAGTATACAGGAGTCATGGGCGAGTCGAAAATGCCTGATATCATCAATCCATTTATTGAAACATATGCGAGATTGTGTATGATGAAGGGGTATATATATGACATCGTGTGTCATGACTCATGATTTAAAACATACAAAGCCACGAAGGCTCCGGCAATATTCCGCCGATTCATCCTGAGAAGAACATGTATCTTCCTGCGGCAGAGAATTACGCCAGAGGCGCCAATCTGGAGGTTTACCGATGGGCTCGCTCCACATCAATTCCGCTCGCATGCGTCCCCGTAAGCTGGTGCGATCCGCCATATCGCTGTACGAACACAAACAAAAAGATTAGTTACGTAGGTTCGTTTGTTCAAAAAGCGAACGAATTACTTTTCCCAATTGATCCAATCACGTTCAAAGTAATCGCGAAGCGGATTGGTGGGCGATGGGCGGAGGTCGGACCAAGCTGAGGTGGACTTCTGTTGTGTTGTTCGGACGACTAAAGGCGTAGGGTCTTCGCCATACAGTCTTTCGTAGGCACTCCAGATCGACTCTTTACAACCCACGATTGTCCGCACGGTCCGAGCTAGGTGCATGCATGCCCACGACGACATGTTCCGCTGAGAACCCCCTGCCGTCATCACAGAAGCACGGGCGCTGTAATCGGCTTCAGACGACGGTTGGGCTGACAAGGGTCGAAGCTCGAAAAGAGTCGCAGAATCAAGCTGTATAGTCGGTGTCGAATGTTGAGTCGTGAGCTGCCGTCTGTCCGAGGAGTTGCGTGGCAAGGGAATTTGCAGGGGGGGATGCGACCGAATACTGGAGAATGATAACGAGAGATACAACGGCAAGACGGAAAGTGGTTGCGGTGACAAGAAATAGTTGTCTAGCATTTCCTCCCACGCGCGCTGAAGCCGTGAGTGATCTTGAGGATCTGGAGGTTTTGGATGCCTAAGTTTGGCATCCAGCGCGGAAGTCTGTAGTGAGGTTGAAGAAGTTCCAGAAGATGTATCTAGGCTGGTATTTGTGTTATTTTTGGCTTTCAAGGACGATTCAGATTTCTGATAAGAGGCTGTGGTCACAACCGTATTCGAGCCCTGGGTGGAGCTACCAGAAGAGATTCCACTGCTGGGTGTCACATCGTGTGATCGTGTAGATTGGCAGGGAAATAATAGGTCTTCTTCAATAACCTGAAAGTCCGTCAGGGTAGCTCGATACGTAATACAACTGAGGAACAGCTCCGCACCTCGAGTACACCGTGAGGTTTGAGGATGCGGGCGATCTCCTGATGTGAGTAAGGTAAAGGCAATTCAAAAGGTGTTACAACATGCGAGAGACGACTCGCTTACCGCCAGAACTGATGGCCACTGTGGAAGTGCCATTAGCAAGTCAGCAAATCGACGCCGGAAATACTAACCTCATCTTCTGGGATGTGTAAACCCATTCGAACCATCCTCACGAAGTCAAATTGGCCGGTCAAAAACGGTAGCTGTTCTAGTCTGAAGAAGCGCATCAGATATGACGCGGATTACGAAAATGCGCGAGGAACACGTTACAGATTGCCTTGAACCCATTTTAGCCGACGTGAAACAGACTTTTCGAGCACATTAGAGCGTGGTTGCGTATGTTCGATGTCGAAGCCAACAACTGTGCTGCCCTACACTCTCCCGTCAAAAAATTCGGTTGTGTCGTATATATTCTCACCAACCTGCCAATGCTTGGCGGCTTCGATGGCCCAAAGACCGCGCCCACATCCGAGATCAAGGATCGTAGATGGAGGTCCGTCAAACTCATGAAGAGTTAAGCTCCTGCAACAGTTTGTTATGAACATATGATCCCAGTGATCACTGGTACATCGTTGGTGAGAACGACGAAAGTCAAAACTTGTTAAAAAAGAACTCACAAGTTCACGATGTCATTTGTATATGCCAAGGGCGAAATGACCTCGTTGGGAAGTCGCCTACATTTTGGTAATGAAAGCAGCTCGACATCGATGTTCGTATGTGGGCTATCGTTCATGGTGATGGAAGAAGATGCATGGGCATGTGAGGTGCCAATGGCCATGTATATGATAGTAGGGCGCTAGAGATGGGCCAGTTTATATGGAGGTAGGACTCGGAGGACCTGTGACGCAAATGCGAATATTTCGAAAGTTAGCAGTGTAGCTTAAATCAACACGATAAATTGATCTACCTTAAAAAAATTGGGGACTCAAACGATGATGGCCGAGGAAGGCCGCATCTTTTCCAAGCACGTCATGAAGGTTGTACCATTCGCAGACTTGCAGGGCCGCGAAGATAGGAAAGATGCCGTCGCTTGAGTTCGCTTGCAACATGTAATATCTACTACTTCCCGTCGGTTTCTCATAATGAATGGGTCCGCAGTAGTGTCAGGTGTCCTAAAAGCTGTTTCTGGGGGACTCGTCGGTAGTCTTATTGGGTAAATCACTGTAACACTGAACTTCACCTCGACTTCGATCATTCGATGAGCTCGCTACGTCTTGTCAGCAGCGTTGCGTTCAAGCGACATTTAAAACTGTCGCCGCTATTATGGCGCGCCTATGCAACGCCTGCAACTTTCAAACCCCAGGAAAAAGACCCTCAACTTGGCGATTACCCTGACCTTCCATGGATTTCAAACCAGGAACTTCCTGCTAGAGGCTGGTGGGATCAACAAATGCGACGGAACTTCGGTGACCCGGTCAGCACATTACCCAATTCCCGGCGCGTAATCGTGTCTCAGACTTTACCTTTTTCCAGATACAAGAATATGACGAAGTTCTGTCCATGTGGGGCCCTGATGCTCCTCCGGTTCCTCCGCATAAGGCTTTGTTCCAGCTTTCTCTCGCCATCTCAGCGTTCGTTGGCTTTGGTTTTCTATGCAAGTACATGCTTGTTCCAGAGAGACCAACCGTACCCCGGGAATACCCGTACTCCGGTCTTGTACGTGAACTTGGCGGACTTGAAGAAAACAAGGTGGGCTTCCTCCACGTGTACACTCAATGGGTCAATTTGACCCCTGTTCTAGGCTAGAGAAGAGACTGAAGAGATCGACGAGTAATATTGCGGTGTACCTAGACCTCGCGTTTCTTATCTGGGAGATTTTCGCTCTCACGCGTTTTACCATCTTTGCATGATCAGTCTGCCAATTCGCCACCGTTCATTGGACTCCGCCAAATGCCTGGTCTTTCCTGGAACTAACGCACATTCAGAACTTCGGATCTCAGGAAGTACATGTGCTCTGATGGAAGTTATGTACATGTTGCTTAAGCTAAGAACCCTCGGACTCTGCCGCAAGTATGGTGTATCTGTCAGATAATCGGGACCCTTTTGCCACTGGTCTCGCCCTTGGGCGGAGACGGGGTTTTGATGTTTCTGTGGTGGAAAGACTGTCATCAATCACATCGCCAACGTACTCATCCCCGCTTTCAGACTCGGATTTCCGAACTACCTTGGAAGACGCGCCCCGTGCTCTGGCGCTGCGGCCAGTCTCTGTTCCCTGTCTTTTTTGTTGTACCGCCACGGGACTAGTTTTCGTTCGACTCTTAGTGCCTGTTTTCCTTTTTTTGGTGGCAGGCTCTTTCCCGTCTTCGGGTACGAGGTCATCTGCCTCATCAGATACTGGTGTGCTTGTGTTCCGTTTTGCCTGCTGATTTCGGAAATCCGTAACCACTTGCTGAAGACGCTTACTTCCATATGCTCGTCGTTTCCGTGGAGCATATGATCCGCTACCGGGCGCAACATCAAAGAAGCTGTTTAGGTTACCTTGCCGATTCATAGCTGCGACCTAGCAAACATATTGAATTGATCGTGTACCCGAATATCGATACGCCACGTGGCTTGGTCCGTACCTGGTTCCGCTTATTCATTTTCTGAATGATTGGTAGAAGTGTTTCATCGACTTTGGCTTGGTTCCAGTGTAGTTCTTCGTGGAAAAAGCTGCGGAGCCCTGTGAGCAAATTTTTCAAGTACCGGATGTGGTCATTACGCACTGTCGGAGGGCGTCGAGGTCGGGCATACCCCATTTAAACGGCTCATCTGATGAATCCACCGTCGGATGATAATAAGCATCTCTCTACGGCACAGAGATTACCCCTCCATTGTAGCCAAACAGAACAGCCACTCACCACCGACGCATTAGGCCACTCCAGGGGCAGGTATAAGTTTTTGAACTTCTTTTTCTAGATCAAGAGATAAGCTCATATAAGCTAGCATCAAAAATTTTCAACAAGGGACATACGAAACGCTTGCGGAATTTGGTAGTATTATCCTTTTCTCGGTCCCGCCCACTTTGAACTTTGGTCCACCAGTCCTTGAATTTATGAAGGCCGTCCTCGCCCGGAAACTCTTTCAGCAGTTCCATGGCCATTACAGGGCCAACACCAGGAAGCCCCTCGACGTAGTCGCTTCCGAGCAGGTATGCTAGACGGATGAGCGTATCACGTTCCAGTCCAAGCTCGCGCGACAGATCGGAGGAAATAAAACATTCCACAGTCTTAGATTGATTAAACATGTTCTTGAAGACGCGCATGCCTCCGAAAAGGAAAACGTCCGAGTCATCCGTTATGATGCCCTCTACCAAACCTAGCGACACTAATTCTGCGCACTGTGCCTCGGCTTCCATCGGTGCAGTTATGTATGGAATCCCGAAGAGACGCAGTAAGAGCTGAACCCGATAGTGAGCTCAAATGAATAAAACTACCTTTAGCACGGCACACATACCATAATTTGAGAGATCATTTGTTGAGTGATGTCTTCTGAATCACGCATCGCTGCCTTCTTCTGCTGATTCAACGTCCGAATCTCTTCGTCGATCTCATGTCTGACAGCATCCAAATCCTTGCCCTTGACTTGCGAGATGAACCGGGCAAATTCGCCTTCTTCAGCATGTGGATCCATTTCCTCAGCAGCATCCCACGTTTCCGCAGCAACAGACACTCTTTGATCGGTACTCTCCGGAGCAGCACCAAGCACAGGAGACGGAGACCGCGACCAATCGATATCAGATTCATCGTCGCTCTCAGGTATCCGAGCCTCGGGCGTGACCACACTAGAGGTTGAAGGCTGTGGAGGACATTCTAATGACTTCGGTAGCTGAAAAGATACAGGGAACGTTGATTCCCATTCTTTCGTTGCATCCTCCGGTGCTGAGATTGCCGTAGGTACAAAACTCTCGGGTATATTATGAGCATGAACGGCATCAATGACTGGGACGTCTTCCATGTCATCATCCGAATCTTGTGCAGCCCCCTGCAAAACTTTGGGAGATTGTGGCGGTTCGACATGGGCGCTGGTAACACCGGGCGATGGCTCTCTGTGTGGTACCTCGACTGCCTGTACAGGCAATACTTCATCCATGCTTTCTTCTGATTCTGACAAGGACGATTGATTGATTGGCATGGGACGCGATGCTGTCTTCGGTGAAACTAACAAAGCCGCCTTCCCAAACGCGGATTGCGATGGAAGATCATGCAAAGTTCCGGACAGCCTTGGCACCGGACCAGCCCCCGCGATCGAAAGTGCGGTCTCCAGCCGAGAAGGGGACGTGTATAAATCATCATCAGAATCATGGTGTCGAAGAACAGATTTTGACTGAGGAGTTGTAGGAGTAAGTTTAGAAGAAGGTTCTGAAGTGACTAAACGAAAGTCAGATTTCGCCATGTCCCTGCTCTGGAAAGACGCACTATAATTTGCAGTATGATCTTCTAGTGAAGCCTGGATGGCAAGGGCAAGCTCAGGATCCCTGATGTGATCGGATTCGTCGTCCAACGGTCTGGATATGTCCTCGTCGTCATCCAGGTCAAATAAAGGCTTCGATTTGATTTGCCTCTGGACATGTTTTGGCACGGATGGCTGCGAGCGTTTGCCTATCGCGTGCAATGCCATACTTGCCTGGAACTCTCGAAGATCGGGGTCAGGGGTTACATTCCCTGGTCTGACAACACAATCAACGGATGATCAATGATAACGAAGGATTCCGGCAGCGTACATACTGACTTCTTCCATCTCCATATCATCCTCGCTGTCGCTGTGAAGCGTGGGCTTGTCTTGATCAATTTCAATTGGTTTTGATCGCGTGCCGTCGTCTCGGATGCCCAAGACCCAACCACCATCCGCCCCTTCGTTCTTGACAAGAACATACTCTCTATTTCGTTCACTAGCAATTCGAACAGGGATGGTAATGTGTGCTTTACCGATGCTGTCGGTAGTCGTCAACAGCTGTTGAGTCAGAGCATTTCGTTGCTTGAGATTCTTGATCTGTTCTCGAGAGAAGTCCAGAGGAGTCTCTGCCTTCCGTAGCATGTTCTGTAGGCGCTTGTACGATGTCTGACGGGATTTCAACCGAAGGTCACCAACAATTTCATACTGAACTTCTGTGGGCAGCTCTCGGAATGCTGGAGAGGAGACATCAAAGTCCTCTGGACGCATCTCCTCTATGAATGTCCGGAGCTCTTCCTCCGTGGCGAGGCGCGGGTCTGGAGCCTGTGAACTAGCAGCCTTCGCTACGCGCTCTTCGAGATTCACTTCTGGAAGCCTGTAAGGATCATGATCATAAAAGCGAGCTTTCCTTTTTGACGAAGGAGGTGTTTCTTCTGCCTTCTTCTTTGCCGGTGTCTTCGGTGCAGAATTATCAATGTCCTCAAGGTAAACCGCATTCTCATCCAGGACCACGGGTCCTGAGGGCACTTTCTGCTTGCCCTTTGACGATGAAGGGCTGGCTCACATATATAAGCATTTGCACATTCATTCAGGATACGATAGGTCGCATACTGTGACGTTTGAGTATGTGCCAAAGCTTCCCGTCTCATGTGGGCCGCTAGCAGCCTCTCTGCAATCTTGGCGTGAGTTGCAGCGGCACCACTCTTCTTCTTCTTGCGCTCGATCTATACCGTTCGGTCAGCACTGCGTTGAGCAGAAAGAAAGAGGGTCTTACAATCGTGTTTCTCTTCAGCGCAGGAGCTCCTCCATCAAACACAAAGACTGGGCGAATCCCATAGAATAATAGCTTGCAGATACGTCGGAAGAAACCAAGAACATGTGCGTTAACCAATGCACGTCCATCCTTGTCGCGCATAGTAGCTTGAAATGGTAGATCCAAATACTAGAATCAATGGCGAGAGCTTTCCCTTCGATGGTCTCGAGCCTGACACGAATCCAACGTTTAAGCATGTCAGAACCCCGGAGATCATAGAGTACATACGGTACTGGGCGGCCCACTGGAGACAAGAGATCCCATAATGACTTTACACCCATCTGTCAAACTTCTAAAAAAGTGAGTGTGGGCGTAGTGGCGTAGAAACTTCGACGAATACTAAGTAATGAGCCGTTGGAGGTCGGTGACAGACTGACACGGTCACTACTGACTCGGACAAGACTTCTGATCCGAGACGTGGGCCGAATATTGCACCCGCTAATTCCGCTGGAAATTTCGCATAATTCACCAATGAAAAACAACCTAGCACACCTGATACTACCGTAACAATTTATTTCATCAGGGACCCAGATATAACTATGCAGAAGATAATTTGAGATGACCAAGTCCATGAAGAGTGGAGCTATGAAGAATGATAAACTAGGCAAAAGGCATTTTATGGTCGTAAATCTCATAAAAAAAGCGTGACTGTAACTGTCCTTGCACGCCTGACCGAGAAGGAGAGATGCCTAAACGAGGAGTGTAGAAATAAGGGACTGCTGATCAACTTTTCGGAGCATCGACGGGGCGCGGTCCGGCGGGCGATCCTTGACCAGCCGAGCTATTCCGGGACGAACTGTGGCCAGTGCGCTGACCCTGAGCGAGCGAGGCGGGAGGACGAAGATCTTCCATATTAGCTGGAGAATACCGTGCGTCGAACGCCGAACCACCTGTCATTTGCATGCCCATGCCTCCCATACCACCACCTCCCATACCACCGCCTGCCATACCACCGCCTCCCATCCCCATTCCCATACCTCCGCCCATATGATTCATGCCCAAGGGGTTGCCCATCATCGGCACGCCCATCATCGACATCCGGGGATCGTAGCCCATCCCACCGCCGGTCATCATGG